ATATATATATATATATATATATATATATATATATATGTGTGTGTGTGTATATATTTATTTATTTAACAAATAATTGTGAGTTTAGTTCATTGAAGAAAATCATAAAGGTACGAGAAGACTATATACACCTGTACAGTATGTTTGACTTAGTGGTTCTTTGGGGCCCTAGTCCCTCTACCACTGTACAGTATTGAACTGTTAACTTCTTCCTTACGTCCATCCCGCGTGTGGAGCTCAAGGTGTAAATAGATAGTCCCATTATAATAATATGCATCCTTTGTATTTTGTAATAATATAATTTTGTTGTCTTGTAAAGAGTTTTCGTAATCCTACCAATCTATCTAAAGAAGACCAAGGTATCGCGCGTATCTCATCCCTTCCACGAGTTGAGTCCTGGCTTGGACACACGTGGGAAGGGTGTGACACTACCAAACATTGCAGGTTTCCTCCGGTACTAAAACTAGACAATAAAGTTCATAACAATGAACAGCTAATAAATTGATAAGTGGTCAAGTGAAAGAGTAATTATAATTAAGGGAAAACGGGCACAAGAAGCCAATGAATTGGGCCTCATATATGAGGTGTCCACAACATAAGCCTTTGGCCACTAACTAGAGAACCATGCTGAGAGAAGGCCAGTGGCTTGTGTAAGACAACCCCCTCCCCCCTCCCTGTGTTCTTAATTTTGCCAAAGATTATTTTGATGCCCAGTATTGTTCATGATTTCACAGCTTGGGCTGGTAGACAATTGCTTAAGTCTACCAGCCTCTGCGTGAAGAAGTATTTCCTTATCGTTCTGGATGATAACTTGGCGAGCTTGTAGTTACGTCCCCTCCTGTTGGCGGGATATCAAAAATGGCCCGGGTTCACGTTTTCCATCCTTTCAGCGTCAGGATTTTTAATGTTTCAATGACATCTGCGCTATTGTGCCTTTTCTGAAGGGTTGCTAGTTCTAAGGCCCTCAGTATACTTGGATAATCGAGATGACATTCTGGAATCACTGTGTTGCACCTTTTCTTGGGATGTTAGGTCTTTCTGGAGGTAGGTCAGTCACGCGCCACGCATTCTCAGTAAGATCGTCACACTATTTCATGCTGGAGTGGTTCGTCACGTGCATTATGTACAAAGGCAAGAGGTATATACATAGAAGTAAATAGTAAGTCAGCCAAGGATAGCCCAGAGGCTAATATTGGCGACTACACCACCGACTCGTTATTTGTTTTGATGTTTATGTTCTTACTATGTTTTCACCAGTGAGTTCTGATATGATAATCATTTTTTCGGGTTGGTTAGGTTAGGTTAGGTTGAACTTTTAAATAAACACTTTAACACATTTGCCACAACTACGACAGTGTCCGCTATAAAACAGTGAAGTTGCAGCGTTTTTAAAATCGTTTTCTATGAAAATTCCGTGGTGGTGTAGTCAATATTTACCAAGACTATACTTTTTACTTTACTTTTATCCTCTTCACCACTGATCGGCTCGTAGTCTATGTCATAGACTGACTGCCTTGGGGGATTGGTAAAAAGAGCTCGATGACGTTTAGAGTGGAGGACTGTGGTCACCAACCCCCAGATATGAGGACGGTACGCGAGAGTCTGATTCCTGCGGGATTTAGGGTCGTTTAATAGGGTGCTATACTGTTAAATATATTAAATTTAAGTTGCTAGCTTACTCATACCAGGGATTGTGCGCAGAGGGAAAACCTCAGTTAGTGATTACACCGCCTCAAACTAAAAATATAGGATCATCCTAACGCGCTGGCCACGTTGGCAAGAATTTGTCAGGTGGAGTAACTCACTGCCGGACGTACGACCATTTAATGTAACTCGGCAGCGGTGTAACAAATTATAAAACAAATTCTTCAAAATCATCTGGAGTTTCGTTATATTTATTACAACATGACAACTATATTTGTTGATCATAAAAAGACACTATTTTTAACAACTCCCCAAAAGAACTTTCCATGAAACTGACCAAGCGATAACGATTAAACTAGATGGCTTTTCACTTGACTTATTTTGAAAACAAAAAAAATAAAATTTTCTGAGAAGATTGGGTCTTGCCAAGACCAAGTGATCCTTACTGGCAGTGTAACAATTTGGGCGCCAGTCGCTTTTGGCACCGACTTCGGGGTAGTTCAGTGCTGAGAGAAGCATTAACTGTATCGTTCATATATTGTAGAAACCAGATAACTACTGCACGGTGAACAGAAAATACAAGTTTATAAGGTGAGCTTTTAGTGGCGACTATGAAGGGTAGGAGAAGCTCTTTATCTGTCGGTAATGTTCTTGTCCGCCATATTAGTGCTTCACCCCTGAAAGTTGTTGGACCGGCGTCAACTATGCTTCAGTGACCAGCCAGTCCTTATAGAGGCGTCTGAGCGTACGGAAAGTTGACCTTACTGAATAAACGAGATAAATAGATGTTTAATTACCGTTAGTAAATGGTGACGTAAGAGGACTTTGAGTTTACTGAGTCAAGACAACTCAGAAATACGTACTTGTAGATAGGTGGGCAGAGATATTTATTCATTAAAATAGTTATACAAGTTCACATTGACTTTATATGTACATAATGCAGGGATACAATCAATGTGTATAGTGCAGGCATACAAATAATGCGCATAGTGCAGGTATACACATAATAGTCAAAGCAGATTTACAAACAAAAATGTACTTAGTGCACGTATACAAATAATGTACATGGACAGTGCACGTATACAAATAAATAAATAATGTACATAGACAATGCAGGTATACAAAACGTACATATATAGTGGTATACAAACATTATACATAGCCAGTGCAGGTATTCAAACAATATACAGTACCTGATCATGTCCTAGTTTTTCTCAAGTCTGGTTAAAGAATCTCTCCGTGTTGTCAAAATCTTCTCTGACAGGGTATTCATGATCTCCCAGGCCAAAGTAGCTAGTATTGTTACAGTGAGTGTGTGTACCTGCGTATGTTGTAAGAGCGTGTACACCTGCGTTTGTTGTATGTAAGAGTGTGTACACCTGCGTATGTTGTATGTAAGAGTGTGCACACCTGCGTATGTTGTATGTAAGAATTGTACACTAGAGTATGTTGTGTGTAAGAGTGTTTACACCAGCATATGTTGTATGTAACAGTGTGTGCACCAGCATATTTGTATGTAATAGTGTGTACACCAGCATATGTTGTATGTAAGAGTGCATGTCTTGTATACGTGTACAGTATAATGGTTACTCAGGCATTCTTGTCCACACACCATCTACAGTGTGTGTAGATGGTGTGTGTGTGTGTGTATTTACACCTGTAATCACAATACGTGGTGTAGATTAATAGTCTTTTTCTTTAATATTTTTAATTTCTTTTATTCTTATTTTTTCGTCCCCCTAGACCCCGTTGTGGGTCGATGACCTGTGCCCGTGTGGGCTATTACTCGTAAAAAAAAAGTTGTCAGTGGTACAGCGGTAACATGCATATCTCCCATATAAACGTCAAGGGTTCGACTCCTGCTTGGCCCAGATAAAAGTGAGAAGGGTATCATCGAGGTGACCCGACCAACCATTACAGGTTTCCTGAACTCCGGTTTCCTCCTGTACTAACATTGGACAGACCAACCGCCCGAACGGCTAGTAAGTTGATAAGTGGTGAAATTATTATAAAAAAGAAAAGAAAAAAAAAACACAGGGCGCACAACTATTGGAGGAGGCGTGAGAAAGTAGGGGGGAGGCGTGAAAAAGAAAGTGAGAGGTCTGTTTACCACTCATTCATCTCTTCACTTCCTAAGCTTCCAGTAGTATCCAGAGTAGGGTAGAATGATAGAATACATTTTCTTTGAAGACTTGAGCTGCACTAATAATAATAATAACGAACGACAAGACGCATGATGCACAGTGACAATCATTCTAATCACACACTGGTGAAGCCAGCTACGGGCTGTACAGAATGTTGATTAGCTCTCTCTCTCTCTCTTGGTCCTGTTCCCAGCACCAGGAAGACTTATTTTCGGTATACAGTATATTATATTGATATGAATGTTTTAAGCCTTTTATTATAGTAAAGGTCATTTATTCTCTCTCTCACATACTAGCGATGATAATTAAGAGTTGATTAGATAATGAACTTATAGTAATCAAAGGTGTTGGTTGCGCATTGGCCTCTCATACGGTGTCCCGGGTTTAATCCCAGCTCCCCGAGCCAGTGTGAGATAGTTGTCTACGAAAAATACTGTGGCAGGTTTTCTCCAATTTCATCCTGTATTTACACTGGACGGGGAAGGTCAGAAAAAAGAATACTTCGACCATTCGAACGGCTAATAAATTGATAAAGGAGTTTAAATGATAAAAATAAAGGATCATTAGGTACTTTATTCTTATTACAAAAGTTTAATGATTATGTGAGATCGTATTAACGCTTAGAGAGGATATATTATTGACGAAAATTTATCGGAAGCAATTTTATTTAGATAACGAGGGTAAAGGTCAAAGTACTGTTAATTTATGGTTTAGAAGGGACAATTGTAAGCGGTTTTATGTCAAAATGAGTGTTAGTAAACTATGCGCAAGGCGAAGCTCAGTTGTGTATGCCAGGTGTGACTACTCGTACAACTTTTCTCATTGACCTTATTTTAGAACTTACTATATCTAGAATAAATTATTAAAAATAGTAGTCAATTTTATATTGTTTTACAGATAAGGATTTAAAAATACATGAGACTTAAAAATGTCTAGTGTTATTTTGGACATGTGGCACCCGTGTTTGTTTTCCGGTCCACAAGTTACACATCAGCCAACGAGACTGTTAATGTTCAATGTATACCACGAACTCGATCGCCGACCCATTTATTAATTATTTTTTCTAGAACATATAACAATAATATAATCAATTCCACCAAATTCTATAACTAAAATATACTTTTATGTATTTTAGTATAGGTTTTGGTTACCTATATTGCTTGTAATTATAAATAGTTTTAGAGATTTTGCTCGTGGTATGATGTTTAACATAAGCTATCTCGCTTGGAACACATCAGCTAGAGTCAGTCGCTCAGGGAATGATCAGCTGTTACCTGGCTACTGTTCATATAACTCTACTGTTACTCCTTCAAGATGGCCAAGAACAACCTCAGAGACAAACTTGATGGCAATGAGCTTGACCTGAGTATGATGAGCTTAGTGGAGGTGCCAGTCAAGGAGATAGTAAGTGAAGACTACCGTGGACCTTCTAAGAGTCGCAGTGGCTGTTGTAGTTTGCTTTGGACTTTAACAGTGATGGTTATAGTAACAAGCGACTAGTGGTTATGACAGTGAATTATGGTGGTTGTGATTGTTGTAGCAGTGAGTGGTGATAATGGGTGTAGTGACAATAGGTGGTGAGTGGTAATTTCTTTTGGTGAAAGTGATGGTTATCCTTGAGATGCCTAACACCAGAAGGCCTTGTTCATTTTAGTTATTTTTTCACAGATGTTCTTGTCATTATAGTAAGTATTTTAAAAGAGGCGATATTTAATAGAATTTAATAAAACATGACCGAATCAACCAATGAAACCTGTTATCTAACCTAACTTCCTAGCCAGGGGGGGGGGTCACAGTCCCTGGAACCCCCCCCCCCTCTGCCATATTATACAGAAAGAACTTATTTTGATCTCTGGTACCAATGAAAGCAACTTTAAAAGTGTCATGTTTTTGTTTTTATACGTGAGAGTATACTCGGACTGAGCGATGTAAACAAAGAGCTGCTTCGGCAGATTTGCTCGAGGAGTATTTATGGTAAATAAGGTAAATTTGCATTGTCACACCGTTCACTTTTAGCAAGTAAAAAATTTATTTTTCTAGTGTGTGTGTAGTTAGACCGAATATGACCTTCATTTTTGGCGGAAATTAGCCGTTTTTTTTTTTTTTTGCGATTTTTGTTTTCGTTTGACGTTTTCCGAGAAAAAAAGTGGCTAAGCGACTAAAAAATACACAAAAAAAACACTAGAAAAACAAAAACCTAACCTAACCTAACTTTGACTCTCACCATATGATGGAATCACCTATTTCTTACCTTATTGGCCTGTTCTTGTTCGTCGTTGCATTCTGGGATTCTTACACAACGCCACATATGTTGGTCTTTGCGATATTTACATTCCGTCTTGCTCTTAATACACTTTACTGAGGTTGGAAGAACACCATGCGATTGAAAAATGCTATAGTTTCTACGTTATTTTTCTCCAAAAACTCGCATTCGGCTCCATATACTTTAACTGACATCCATCGCAGACCTCCATGGTCGGAACTGAACTTGAATTTCAAAATATGAGACCCAAAATAAAACTCGATTTTGATTGGGCCAAATATACTCTGAATTAACAAAAAACGCTTTTGATTGGCCGCGTGACGTGTACGGGTACGCATGCGTGTCATGATTTATGAAGGAGACGCGAGAGACACGCAGTGTTGGGTGAGAGGCAGACGATAATGGCGAGAAATAATGGAAGAAAATTGAAATTTATTTGGAAAAGCTATCTCCGTTCTTATACATTTCTGCTGGTGATGTAATAGATGAAAATTATCTTATAATTAGACGTCTTATTCGAATATGATAATAGATTAGTGGTAGGAATGAACTGTGTAAACGCAATAATACCAATAATATGTATACTGTATATATATATATATATATATATATATATATATATATATGAATAAGTTACGCAGTGTGTTCTTATAATATATCACCGCACCTACAGTGATTTACTTATATATATATATATATATATATATATATATATATATATATATATATATATATATATATATATATATATATATATATATATATCCCTTAGCCAGAATCCCTCAAACCCGGAACTCTCCAATAGCTGGAAAATTCCGAGGATGGGGGATTTTTTCCAGGTTTGAGAGATGATGTAATGGGCAATTTCTGGAACTTCCGAGAAAATTTTTCCGTCACCCGGAAAATTCCGGGGATGGGAGATTTTTTCCGGCATTTAAAGAGTCGTCTCATTACCCGGAAATTTCTCATTCCCGGAAGTGCTCTACACCAATTGTTCCGGCTAACAGGGATATCACTGTACTTGTGTAGTGATATCTGTTATAATACACTGAATAAATTACAGTACAGAAACAGTAAAACCAAATTTGCCAACAATTATGAGAAATTACAACTAATATTTAGTCTCCCCTATACTGTAATATACTGTACTGTACCAGGTGTATCTCACAGAAACTTAGATTTATTTGCTATGGCACTTAGTGTAGTATGTGTCTTCTGTTCGTAGTTTTGCCGGCTAGGTAGCTCATGTGTTCCAGATTTTTTTTTTTTTTTTTTTTTTTCCTGTTTTTTTTTTTGGGAGTAAATTGGACTGAGTGTTTATAACAATGCAGTTGTCGTTGATTCCTCCATGGTCCAGCGTATGGTTAACATAAGGATATGAGTACAGTTCTGTATATGAATCTGGCACAGACAAAATTTCTTGAATAGCTTACACTCCAAGAATGTCAAATTTAATTTGGGGAAATGCAAAGTGTCCTGTACAAGCTGTTGTTACTGAACCTGCCACAATGCAGTACTGTACTGTACACACATGCTTCCATGGTTTGCTTTTTCACATGATAATTATGGACTATAATATACTGATTTAGGTAAAAAATGCAGTCCTAGAGATACTTCAAGGTTAACTTAATGTGAGGAGACCTGACAGTATATATACAGCACAGTACTGTACAGTGTTAGGTTATGACTATAAGGTGTGGTAATAATTTTTTGTAAATTGTGTAATTTTTCTCCACGTCAGGCGGCACTGCCAAGAGCCACAAAGATCGACTTGTCCAACAACCAACTGTCATCCTTGCCGTCCAACTTTGCCCAGACTTTAGGCAACATCACTCACTTGGAATTGGGGTCAAATAAATTAAAAGATCTCCCAACAAATTTCTATAAGCTGCAAAACTTGAAACACCTTGATCTCTACAATAACCAGGTAAGATCACTTGATTACTGTGCTTGTTCTGATACTGTAAAGGTTAATTAGTGACTTATGTTAATAGGGCAGTTTAGGGGTTTAAAGTTAGCATGGGAAATGTGGGAGAAACACTTACTAACTGCCACCCACAGTGACTATCACCTACATGCAGTCGGCGACAACTAAACTACTACTTTTGTAATGGTCCCGTAACTACAAAAAGGGTCCTGTTTTTACTGATACAATACTCTGGTCTTCAACTTCGGAGAAAATATGCACAAAATAATGTCGCCATATTTTGACTGACTGTCAGAAAAGGAAGTCTTGCCTGTTTAGTTGAAGAATATTAAGAGAGTACTGTACCATATATGAAGAAGTATATGATGATGTGTGTTTTTTACAAGCCCATTAGGTTTGTGTGGTTAGACTGCTATGCTTAACAAAATTTTACCATTTTACAGCTGACAGATTTGCCTCTGTCATTCTGCCAACTGCGTAGCCTGAAGTGGTTGGACCTGAAGGGCAACCCCCTTAATCCATCTCTGAGAAAGATAGCTGGAGACTGCCTCAACCAGAAGGAGTGTGAGGCAGCAGCACGCAATATAATTGCACACCTGAAAAAACTACAAAATCAAATGGAGAATGAGAAACAAGAAAAATTAAAAAAAGAGAAAGGTGAGAGCTTCATCGACTGTGCTTGATGTCTGTCTTTACAAGATATAAACAGTACTGTACAGCACTCTCCTCCTGTCCTAAGGATTGCTATTTTGACCCCAGGGCACTCCCAGTTCACCCAACTTAAATGGACAATGAGCTTTACAAGTTGGAAAGATGAATGGCGGTCGAGTGCAGTAGCGGCATAGTATACCGTGTGCTGTATTCAGTTCACACTATCCCTAACATGTAGTCATGTCTATGGGACCCAATTTAAATTTTCACATTCTGTTCATGGTAAACAAAGTGAATCTTACATCTACAGTGGTTCTCAGTGCTTCATATCAATTCCCTGTATAAGTTGATTAATAATTTATTAAGTACTGTATGTCTATTACATAGTAAAAGAACTTAATAACTATGTACTTGCCATGTTTTATGGCCATTCTCCATGCTTGTGTGTGTTAGTCATAATTACCTTGATGGCATGGTGCCCCATTTGCTATCAGGCAAATTTGAAGAGAGTTTTATGGGTGGATACCCTTTCTATCACCAACCCTCTTTTATAAGTGGGAACTGGACATTATAAGTAGGACTTCCAGGTGCTCTCTTACCTTGCAAGACAAGGCCACTACTTTCTGAGGATATATTTTTTCAATTTCTGACAGCTTGACCATGTACAGAACTAAATGATTTTCTCAGGATGTACCCCATAGGCTGGATCTATATATAATGAAAGTATTGTTCATTGTTGCTGAAGTATTAATTAGAAACATAAATTGACAGAAAAGGAAGATGCAAAAGCTCGTGCTGAAGAAGAAAAGCAAGCCAAGAAACGGGCAGAAAAGAAAGCTGCCAGAGAGAAGAGGAAAGCAGAACTGCGAGCTGTGCAGGAGTCTCAGAAGACTGCAGTTAATGGAACAGCTGGCATAGAGAAACAGTACAGTGCTGTGCCAAAACCTGCTCCACCAGCCCTCAAACATAAGAAATCTAAGTCAGGTTTGTTTCACATCACAATGGTTCACTGGCTCAAAGGCTCCAGCTTAATGGTTTCACGTTTGTCTTATTTAATCTTCCCATTTTCCCCCCACTAATTATTTCTCCTGTTTCTGTTCTTCCTTCTATATCTTTTATTCTACTACTGATACAGTACTTGTTATAGTTTATAATTCTATAATACAATTGTCTGTTTCCCACAAAAACACTAATAAACATTCTTCCTAATTTCTCACTTTCCTTCCCTGGAATCTTGCATCAGTTCATCTTTTATTCTCTTATTTCCATTTCCTCTTTGGTATTTGTTTCATCAAGGTTTTTCTCCTTGCTTCTCTTGTCCTAGCCACTGCCTCTTTATTTTGTGCATCACACCATGCACTTGCCCTTCTTTTATATTACAGTACTGGGTAATTACAGGCATTCCCTTATTTATGAAAAGGTTCTATTCCAGAAAAACCTTTCGTAAGTCGATTTTTCATAAATTAGTCGCATTTTCCCAGAGACTCCCATTATAAAAGCTGATATACATTCCTGAGAAGGAAAAATACTTCCCCAAAAGACTTAAAAATATGCCACAAAACATAAGAACATAAAAATGGAGGTAACTGCAGTGGACCTATTGGCCCATACTAGGCAGCCCTTTATTCACCCAACACATATCGCTCATATATCTGTCCAACCTATATTTGAAGCTTCCCAGTGAGCTTGCATTAATGATTGTGTTATGTGACATTACTTGGAAAGCCTTGAATCACATTGATCCCCCATGGCTAATGATACTTTTTATGGGGAATGTACAGTAGTAGGCAGCTACCAAACAGGGTGGTACTAATGCCTGAGAAGATATTGGAAGCATAATGTGTTGTCTAATGGTAGACCCTGCTGCCATATGGCATCACGAAAATTGTGACCAAGTCCCAGGTTGCTGATCTGTCTTTCTGCCTCATTTACACAATTGTAGGGTCTCAATTGTTTCTCTTACATGACAACACAACATACATATAGCATTTCTCACTGTTCTTTTTTTCATTCTTGTATTTATTATTATTATTACCATTAATATTTTATTTTACCTTTTATTATAATTTTATTTACTATGAATTATTATTATTACATTTTCGCCCTAATGTGGGTCAGTGACCTGTGCCCAGGTGGGCTAATCCCCGTAAAAACAAAAAACAAAAACATACTATGTATTTGTATAAATGTGTACTTCACTTATTCCATACCCCGTATACCTTCTATCCATGCCGTTCTTTTCACTTCCTTGTCCTGCTATTTTTTCTTTCATCCCTGAACATAATATAAGAGACACCATATCTTTCTACTTCATTCCTTTTTAACATTTATCTTCTCCAGACCACACCACCATGTAGCATAAGACCAGTTATTCACATTTCATGAAATAGAGTCCCTGGAGTCCACAAGCATTCAGATGAGGGAGAAGAATTAATTCTGATGGACATAACATGTTGGTCTTGTGTCAATTAACCCCACCCCCCTCTCATCACCCGTTATGCAGAATACTTGCTCATCTCGTATTGAAACTCTTGGGATATGTCTATGATCTGTCTTTTATATGCTTGGTGGGATTGTTCAGTAATTTTGTGCACTGCATTAAAATTTCTCATATTATCATTTACTATCAGTTGGTAATATAACTGAAATCAGCAGAACGGATTTGTCATTTGGGGCTTTAATTATGAGGCAACTGTAATTCTACCTTGCCAATCTGTACTATGGAGAATAAAAGCTGTAAATATCTCCGAATGTTTGTGTGTGTGCAAGATTTTGTGATCACAATAATTTAAACAATTTTAGTTTGATAATATAATTAGTATACTGTATTGTTATTGTTTTATACCAGTATGCTATGTGTTTGAGATAGGAGTACAGTTCTGTACTTTATTAATTTAAATAAATTATTTAAAAATTATTACAAGTCGTGTGAAGCTATGGCTGTGGAGTTCTTAAAGCTTTGTACATAAGACTTTGTTTAGTTCTCTGCATCTTTGAATTGCAGCCTTAAGTTACCACCTTTATGTGTAATGGTTTACAGAAGCAAAGATTTGACTTGTATATGTCTTACAGGCGGCTTATCATTCCTGGCGTGGATTAACATACTGATGCTCGTGTGTCTTCTGGGAGTCACAGTTGCTGGTCTGTATGTCTACACTGATGGTGATCTCACGCCCAATGGCATCTCTGCTGCCTTACCACGCATTGTAGAAAATGCCAGTATTCTTATAAGTCTCACTACTGAAGCACTCCATCCAGAAAACTTAACGCGAACTGCTAATTCGGTGGTAGACTCTACATCTGCTGCATGGACTTCACTACAAGAGCTTAGTGGGGATATAAGTATTCACATGACACCGTTTGTTGAGAAGGTTAAAGCAGGGTTCTTTGAGTTGATAGAGTTTGTCCTGTGCTGTTATGATTGGATTGTGAAAAATGTTGACTGGGATTCAGTATATGCAGCATTTACAACCACAGTCAAGTTCTTCTATGAACAGTGGCTGGTGATCTGTGAAGAATTAAGCAAAAACGAGGCACTGATGGCAGTTTGGGCCCCCATTCGGACTCGCACTGCATTTATAGTGGAGTACTTTGAGGTTGTGTTTGCAATTATATGGGGGTATGTAAGCTTTGGTATTGAATATATACAAGAAGAAGGTCCTGGTATATTGTCAGTGGTGAAGGAACAAAGTGCTGCTGCCTTCCACTCTGCCAAACAGTCTATTGAGGGTCTCGTCAATTAAGCCACACTGATTGTTAAGTGCTGTTTAAAAAAAATTATCATTTTGGTTATTGTTAAATCCCTGTGATGTTGAATATATATAAAAAGGGTGAAATTCCCTGTAATTTCGTTTTGCCAAGGTGCTCCATTTATTTTTTTTTGTATTAAAGTGATGTGGTATGGTATCCATGAGGTGGACTGTGCGATTTTACAAATATGGGACAGCTTTAATGTAACTCATGAATGATTGTTCTGTGGAGAAGGTTCGAGTAACTCAGTCACAGCTACTAGGGATACTTCATTCCACGACGCGATAATTTCTATCTAGACGTTAAATTATTTATATGAATATGAATTATTATACTAGAACATCCTTGGAGAACACCATGAAATTGTGTACTGTGCCATGAGTTGCCAAACTTATGTACTGGTTCATTATTATGATGTTTGAAATTTAGTGTCTAAACCTTAAATACCACCATTCAATTATGTAATATGCTGTACAGTATATTGAATTAAGGTGCTGGTTCATCATCATTAAGTTTGTGTGAAAACTTACTGTCATGAAACCTTAAACTGGATCTAATACATCGGTTCACAAAACTCCTTGAAGGTAAGCTATGATTAAGGTGACCAAATTTTTTTTTGCATCTTTTGTGCTGCAATCTTTAAATTTTCTTTGACCTCTCGATTGTTGTTCGAGAATTTGTTTATAAGGAAAAATCATTTGGTCAAGGCTTTTTTGTTGAGTGTTGCATATTTGTATATTATGCATAAACTAAGCATGGTTATTTTATTTGATTTAATCAATTTACTACCCACAACTGTGATGATAATTGTGAGCTCATTCATGGCACCGAGTGTGAGCTCATTCAAGATCAGGCTTTACCAACAATGGCATAGGTTCAGATAATTCTGGAGCTAGTTCATGCCCAGTACTTGCCAGGTGTGGCAAGTGGTGAGGAGGATAAAGTAAAGTAAAATAAGTACAATTATTATATTAAACTGAAAAAGCCACTATATTACAGATGAACTTGATATTCAACTTTAAATGAGATTCGAGATATTTACTATTTATTTTCCCTGAAGATGGTGCCGATGGTTTTTGTTCCGAGAATTTCAGTGTTGCAAAAATAGAGAATTATTTGCCATTTTTATTCGGTAATGATATCGATGCCTAAAATGTTAACACTTGGATTTTTTGGAGGTTTAGGGTCTCGGTTTGTGTAGTACCTGTTTTACATCTAATAAACGTCCTTTGAGTATACAAGTTAATGTTTTATTGAGGGTTTATCCATGGATATGCAAAAGATAACCATCCATTCAATCTTTTGCAGGTCTTCAAACCAGAGTTACATGTATAGAACAGGTGGACAGTGACAAGTTGACAACCAACAGTGCTTCTTATCCTCCAGTGGAACTTGCCTACCACCCTGTAGGAGACAATGATACCTGTTTAGTGATGGTAAATTACCCCTACTGTATGCCATTTATATATTTAAAGTCTTGCAAGTTAAATTTTAAGGAAAGGCACATCAAGTGGGAGTTGATCTGTCATAAATGATGAGAGGATGAGGTTTGTGCACATGGTACAATATTATTAAGCATTGTACTTATTATAACTAGTGTCTAGGTTCAGTAGGTATACATGTAGAGTAGTTTTAAACTATTTCTATGTCTCACCTCTATGAATATACTGTACAGTACTGTAGTTCCAATAACCTTAGCTACTACAATGTGAGATTGTGCAGTACAAATATACTGTAGAGGGTGGACCTAGGATGCACACCTATTGGTGAGGGAGTAGATCTTTGGGTCATTAACAGTCGTTACACCACCTGACCGATCAGCAGCACAGCGTGTGTGGTTATTCAGAGACCCCAACAGTCCTGAAAGTCAGTCCTGGTGGATCGGGATCATTGGAACATTTTGTTAGGAGGGGTACCCATTCTATGGCAGTCCCGATGAATATATAAACTTCATCCTCCAAATTTTGATATACAGTACAGTACATTATTGAGATAGAATACTGTACTGTATATTCAAAACTGATAGGAAATGAGTTTGTTGGTAACGGAAAGACTTGCTTGCATTGGTAACAGCTATAGCACTGATGGACATTACAGGAAATTTGTGTAACCAGTGATTTCATGAAATCACAAACTTTTAGCAAGTTGTATGTAATTACTGTTAGGTTAGGTAATTGCATATAACTTAAAGTTTTAGGGATTTCGTGAAATCACTGGTTACACAAATTCCCTGTAACATATACAAATACAGGTACAGTATAAATAATTACCATCACACCACACAAAAACTTACAAATTCAAACTCACTTCAAGTGTGAATTTTAAATCAGAAACTGCAAATTCTTGAACATTAAGGTCTTTTGATTGTATTGAAGTGCAGACTGTCATATATAATTTATTTAACATCTTGAGGTGATTATATATCACCTTTGGCAGTACAGTAATACAGTACAGAGTAAATAATAAATTTAAAACAGTTGAGATTAATCATGACTTCACTGTCAATTATTGTAAAACTGACTGAAATCACAATTACAATACATTGTAAATTGGGTAATTAATATTCAAGTACAGGTACCAGGTAATTAAACATGATGCACCTTCCAAATGCACTTCCCACACCAAAAAATGCCAAAATTTCAGTTTTTAGTACAGAAATGTTCTCTTGTAGCATCTTCCTGCATATAAGACCTATTGGAGTACATTATCATCAGATAAAGAGGACTGGCTTAAAACTTTAATTAAATAGTCTTTACTTTGGCACTGAAACTTATTTGGCATTGAAAGTTGTATTTGTAGTGAATATCAGAATCCAGGATTAGGATGAAGGGAATCCCAGCATAATGAAAGGTTTACTGCAGGCTGTTAAGACTTGAAGGGATTCACAGTAATCTGAATATCAAATTCATATATGATACCTTCAAACATTAAAACTAATATTTCAACAGTAGTTTCCAAGCCTGTATATCCTCTTACAATTATGAGTATGAGTGAAGCTACAAATAATGCTTGTTGTCTAGATTTACTTTCACAACTACTTGCAACTGGAAGATGTATAGGGCTGTCCGTATGTATCTGGGTACATGTATGTCTTGCTCATATAACTCTTAAGAGGATGTCAATGGCCTTAGAATCTACAGTACTGCCAAGATATAAGTTTTCATCTATCAATGTGGATTCATTTACAATTGTGATTTATATGTTTCTGTCAATCTTTACAAGCAGGCTGTAAAATTGTCATTATCCCGGGATAATCTGTAAACTTGGAAGTGTGTATGCAGAGATGAGGATCCGTCCCCACCTGTTGATAATATAACACAATATTCTGGATGATGCACTGTATAATGATTCTGTATTTTGATGGTGGAAGTTATTTGTGATACTGATGCTATGATAGGCACAACCTTATCATAGTATGGTTCCTTTAACAGTGTCATCCAGGTTCCTTTGTTATCTCCCCCCCCCCAGGGTGCCTTAGGTATTGTACATGATTATATTCACTACAGTTACAGCTTTAAAAACCTAAGAAAAGATATAACTCTTCACCCTACTTATCAGTCTCTTGTTATTTGAGGATGATATACTCCAGAGAGCATTAATACTGAATATGCTCAAGATTAACACATGAAAAATATATATACCTGTAATTCTTGCACCTTTTTTGTTACACTGGTCAAGAAGGCCTTCTGCCAGTCATCTTGCTATGGTGTCAAGTAAGTGCATTGATGGATGCATTTTCAAAGAGTAAGAAGTAAATCAAACCCATTAAAATATATATTTACATTCATTAAAATATATTTCCATCATTTTATGTGGGTTGGATTTACAGAAGTAATACTGTACTCGGATCACTGTTAATTCGTCCATGTACAGTTTTCACAAAGTACTGTAACTTGTAATTATACCGTTTGATAAGAACATTTTCAAATAATTACTGATGGGTGGTGCACTTTCAAAGAGTAACTTGGTAATACTGTGAGGGTGGGCGTGAGCAAGGTGCTGAGGAGTTGGTCTGGGCGCAGCAAGACCAGTGTTTCTGACCCGGATGACCTGTATGGTTATGGCCACACCCCTGGTATCCCCCTGCAAGGGAAACACTATTAATTGAACATCTTTGACTTTGGCAATACAATACACTCACAACCCTGGAATCATAAATCCTAAAATCATAATAAGTGAACGGTGCTACTATAGTTCAGTATATATGGTATGCGGTCTACCTGCAGGATGTTTACAATATAGTATGCGGTCTACCAAGATATTTACACTATAGTAAGCGGTGTACCTCTCAACCAAGTTATGAATTTTCTTAAACAGATTATAAGACTTGGACAATATTTGATTTATTAAACATGTTCCAGTGTTAAATAACTTTTTATTTATTTTTATGGGATGAGGCAGATGAATGGATACAGCAGATGCCTCCTAACATAACAGTTGCTGGTTCAAAACCTGCAGCCAGCTGCAGAATGGGTACCTAACTATACAACTGGGGAAGTGGGAGAGGGCACTGCCAGCCATGATGTCTCCTTGTATACTGAAGACCTAGCTTCAATGTGTTGTATTCACACTGCTCAGAATGGGCAATCAGGGCTAAAGGAGCCCATTAATATATTTTCACATCTAATAAAGTAATTTACTCATTGTGAAACGGGTGCACTACAGACCCGTGCTACACAAGGTTACACTTTACAAGATTAAAAATAAATAAATGCAATACTGTATAGTAAAAACATAAAATAAAAAAGCAAAATAACAATAAGTTATAACACACCTGGCATGGTTGCCCCACAGGCACAAGAGGCTGTCTTATCACCACCACTTGAACAGAATGTACAGCAGTGGAAAATTCCTGTGTGTCGTCGACCAGGTGAAGTTAAGTTTGCTTCTTTGTTAGTGTCCGCAGCGGCCATGCTGCTCACCCCTGATGTTATCGTTAGCTCCAGAGGACTTCCCTGAGGGTATAAATTTCTTCTTAAAACTGTTTCTTCTTTGTGGATATATACAGTACCTGTATGTAAATACAGTACAGTAGATCCCACCCAATCTGTGTGGTTATATTCTCACAGGCTTTGTAAATTATAAAAATTGAGAACTGTAAATCAATTGTGACTATGATAAAAATGGGGTTACATTCAGTGTTAAGAGAACTGTGTAATGAGCTTGCAGAGCCCTTTAAGATCCTGTTTTGCAAATGCCTGGATGAGCAAAAGGTCCCCAATGACTGGAAAATGGCATATGTGAGTCCTATATTCAAGAAGGGCAATCGTAAGAGATGCCAAGATGGAACATCTACTATGAAACAACCTTGTAAAGGACTGCCAACACGGTTTTATGCCTGGGCGATCCTGCTCAACACACTTACTCAAGGTACTGTACTGGATGTTTGGACTTCAATTCTAGAACAAGGCAGAAATATCAACAATATATACAAGGGGCCCCCCAAATTTGCCGGGGTTAGGTTCTCAAAATGGCGGAAAATAGCATTTGCAGACCGGGGGGGTTGTTACACTTTTATTGTGTACAAAGAAATGCATATTCCATTTGTGTTTGCCCTTAGGACAATTATTTCTTTTACCTGTAGTATTGTATGTGTAGGTGTAGACACACACACACACACACACAAATAAATAATAATTGGAAAATACTCTCACAAATAATCAAACAAATTTATTAAAAATGTAAGTCTACCCTCAAGTCCGTTCTCTATTACAGTACTTTATTAAGAGAACGGACTTGAGGGTAGACTGTCACATTTATAATAAATTTGTTTGATTATTTGTGAGAGGATTTTTCAATTATTATTTATTTGTATGTGTTTTGTGTGTGTGTCTACACACACACACATATTTACAATACAGGTAAAGGAAATTACTGTCTCTAAAACAAATGGCTCCCTGTCCTAGCCGCAAAAATTACGGCAACTTGAAAACAACCCACAGACATTCTTGGGTACATCCAGGGTGTCATCCGCGAATAACCGAGAACCGCGAACTTGGGGGCCCCTCTGTACCAAGATTTTGCCAAGGCTGAGAATTAAACTGGAAGGGTACGGGATTTGGGGAAGTGTCCTAGCCTGGATTGGAGCCTCTCTGCATGACCGCAAACAATGCCTGGTGATAAATGGTACGAAATCATCATGTGTACCTGTGACTAGCGGGGTACCACAAGGCAGTGAATTGGGCATTGTTGTTTGTTTGCTTCATAAATGATATGCCAGAAGCTATACACTCCTCCGTACAAATGTTTGCAGACAATGCCAAGTTATTTAGGGAAATTAAGAACCAAACAGACTGTGAAGAGCTACAGAAAGATCTCTGAGCTTCAAGAATGGTCGAAGAAATATCTGGTAAGATTCAATGTCATGAAGTGCAAAAGGATGCACCTGGGTCGCACCAACAGTAAGGAGGTGTGTCACATGTCTCAACAGGTCAAAGAAACTGCATTAATTGAGACCAGATGTGAAAAGAAAAACTCGGTGTGTATGTCAACAATGAACTTAAGTTCTTGGACCATTGTAAGAAGTTGAATCAGGCAACAAAACTAGTAGGTCTTATAAGAAAGTCGTTTATATATATATATATATATATATATATATATGGATGGTCCGTTGCTCATCACAATCTTCAAGAGTGAGGTGCTTCCCTGTCTGGAGTACTGTCACCTCGTTTGGTCCCCGAGGTATGCTAGAGATTGTCAATTGACTGGAAAAACCCAAAGGAGGGCCACCAGACTGGTGCCTGCTCTATGGAACCTCAGTTACCCAGAGAGTGGAGCGCCTGCAACTACAGATGGGCGACCTAATCGAAGGGTATAAACATCTCAGGGGGCACTCAGTCGAATGTACAGGTACATACCTGGAGCTGGCAGATGTCTGCCCCACAAGGGGTCACAGCTCAAGATTGAAGAAGCCACAGGGTACGGTGAGGGCAAACTTTTCTGAGTGAGAATTGTGAACTCGTGGAACAATCTGCCAGTGTTGTGACGGCACCAAGTGTGAGCTCATTCAAGGCCAGACTTGACCAACACTGGAGCAGGTTCCAATATATCCTGGAGCCAGTGCATGCCCAGAACTGTACTTGCCAACAGTGCATCACAGATGTGACTGACTGCCCAAGCGGCTAATGAGACGATCAGTAGCAAAGCGGATAAAGGTAAAGGTACATCTATATATACAGTTTATATATGAGGGGGAGGCATGTGACCATGCCTCCCCATTTTGCTACTGTACTCAACGTCGCATTTTACATGTAACATGATCATAAAAAATAAACATTAAAAAAAGTCTTGAGTAATTGAATCATATGTCAATGGGATGAAGGACTAAAATATGTCCTACTATTCACTGAGGAGAATCTTTAATGGATTATACAGTAATTAGATTTTGCATTACAATAAAAATCATTTCATGTTTTAATTCTACCTTTGTATAAACAAGTATACGTGTATGTCTACATTCTTCAAAACACTTCATAATTTTCTGGTAATAAAAACAAATTATATACAGTACCTGTGCTTTTTTTTTTTTTAGCAAATTTTTTTTCAACTCCCACACACAAGGGGTGGATTAAGCCTCACAAGAAAATGGGTTCCAATAAATGACAAAATTAATATACCTGTAGTACAGAACTTATGGGGTGCATTAACTGACAGAATACAGTTTTTGTCTCCTGTTTTGAGGGTTGTTGGTGAGATGCTGGGGTAACTTGAGTCTATTCAGTTAAAGGGGTACCAAACTTAAACTTTACACATGGGGAAGGGAATGCAGTCGAGTGTAGTGTTGGCTGTGTTACTGTTTTGTGTACTGAAGACTTAGTATACAGTTTGTTGTACCTACACTTTCCCTAACAAATAGTCAAGGCCTATGAAACCCACTTTTTTCTCAAAATTTATAATTAAAATTTAATCTGTGAGAGTTAAAGTTACATACAGTCAACCATTGCTTTACGCGGTCCCACATTCCGCGTTTACGCGGTACCCTGCCGAAACCGGAATGCTCACATTCCGCGGTGCGTGTACCCCTTTATGTGGAGAGCGGCGCGAGCAGGGTGCGCACAAGGTCGCTCAGTCATCAAAACATTACCGAGTTCTTCACCCGCCACCCACCACAGCCGGCCCAAGTCAGTGATAGTGATAATTATAGTGAGGATATGGACTTTGAGGGGTTTGACAAAGAGGCCCTGCAAGCCTCTGTGGTGGATAGTGATACAAGTGATACAGGTGAGGGCCAATAATCTGCCCTCTGCCTCGGAACCAACCCCCCATCCCCGTGTGCCCAGCCATCTTTTCTACTAATGTAAGTGTTAAAAAACCTAATATTATTGATATTTCTCTTAATTATTAATTGTGTGTGCCTACCATCATAAAATTAAGAAGTTATTTTTACTACAACGTAAGTATTGTGTCTGAAAAAGTGGAGTTTGGGGGTCGGCCCGGTCTCTATTTCAATTAATCCCATATGTTATGTTGTTCACTTTACACGGGCCGCCGTGGGTTGAATTAACCGCATAAAGTGAGGGTTCACTGTATATTAAAATAAATGACCTACAGTTGTTTTTACAGCTTATATTGATTTATTAGTTATTGTGAGTGCTAGTCCCTTAAAAATTCTGAAGGGAGTAAATAGAAAAGCAAATTCTACTCAGCTGACCTGCACATGAACACCTTGAATGGTAACATGTAATGCTGCTGCAGTCGGGACAGGGGGGCTAAAGATGACTTCATATGACCCATCCTCACGGTCTCGAACTGAACAGCCACATCTGATGCAAGGATAAGTTGATAAAAGATACCATTCCAAAATCATCCACATATGTTTATTAAAGAATTAACAACTATGACCTAATTCCTTGTCAAACAACAAATGTGATACTGTATACTGTATCATGAATCTTCTAAAGGACTTTGTTTAGTGAGTGACTAAAAGTACCTAAAAATTCTCAATGTTATTTCAGTGTAGATTATTCTGGCTAATACCAGACAATTTTATTCAGCTAAGAGAAACCTCTGCCACTCAATGGGAATACCGGTAACTCGTAATAAATATTATGACCACTTGGTCACTACTGTACATATCTCAGGTGAACATACAGTTACAGTGTATGATTACATACACTTTGGGATTTTAATCAACCTAAATGCCTGTCTCATAATCAACCTAAATGCCTGTCTCATAATCAACCTAAATGCCTGTCTCATAATCAACCTAAATGCCTGTCTCATAATCAACCTAAATGCCTGTCTTTTCTGATCTGATTAATGAATCTGCATATGAGGCACTCCGATTGATAGTGACAAATCAACCAGTAGCGCCCAAATCAGATTCACTATCAATGGGAGCGCCTCATATGAAGGATATGTTTTTTTAAGTGGAGGTTAAGGAAGACGATAACCAACACTTGGTCACCGTTGTTTATTACTTAACAAAAAATCTCATAAGTAGTTGAGAAACTGATTTTGTAAGTCCTTTAATTCTTCATTTATACCAAATGCTCAGCACTTCACTGGGGTTGAAAAATATTATCAGACTCCCTGATGCATTACATTAGACTTACTTAAGTTGTGGTTCTTTATCATGAAGGATGTCAGGCATCAAGAGTGTGGATATATATACTGTCTGGACACAGAATATTAAATCATTGAACTCACATTTACATTGATAGTAAGACTGCCTACACATTATTCTATGCATTATGTTGTGAAACACTTACAAGATGGTCCCATCTCGGGTCAGAACACTGGTAGATACTTCTTCTCCACCGTGAGTTATTGGCTGACCGTCAACGTCCCGTGCTACAACCAGTGCTGACACTTTTGATCCCACGACTAAACTGCTGACATCACATACTGCACAATATGCAAATATGGAAACATATTTAATGAATATATAAGATAACAATTCATTATACAGTATAGTATGTGGAGTGCTATACAATAATTCTTCCTTATGATGGGAGGGATAAGCATTCTGTCTATGAACCAATAGTGTACAGTATAGTGTAGAAATACCCTGTACTGTGCTGTGTAGATATATACTGTACTGTGTCGTGTAGATATGTTGGGCTCAAAGATCGAAAACTAACCACAAAGCATTGAGGTTGTTTGGAAAATAACGAGAAAGCAAAATTTTGCTACAGATTAGGATGGGTTAAGTTTGTTACATTAGGTGAGGTTAGGTTGTATCTATTGGGCAAAACCCAAGATGCAAAATTTCACTTTCTGGTTCTTTGGAAAAAATCCACAATGCATTGTGGTCATTTTTGGTGTTTGAGCCCAACAGATATATACAGTATACTGTACTGTGTTGTGTTGATATATACTGCACAGTACTGTACTGTACAGATATATACTGTACCGTGTAGATATACTGTATATACTGTAATGTACTATACTGTGTAGATATATATACTGTACAATACTGTACTGTGCTATGTAGATATATATACTGTACTGTGTTGTGTAGATATATACAGTGGGGTATGCTATAACGAATCTAATTGGTTCTAGAACCTTGTTCGTTATAGCATTCGTTCGTTATAGGATTAATCCGTTCCAGGCCCCCAAATACAACCACTTAACACTGAAAAATATAATATAAAATTGTAAAAATTGTAAAAAAGTGCATAAATATGCATCTAAACCCTTGAAATAACCAATATCATTAATACTTGTAATAAAAAACAATAAATTAGTAAAAAAAAAAAAAAAAAAAATGTTCGTTGTAGGAGTTTCGTTCGTTATAGCATTCTCAATTTTATAGGTAAAACCGTTCGTTATAGGAATATTCGTAGTAGGATCCGTTCGTTATAGCATACCCCACTGTACTGTACAGTGTAGATATATACTGTATACTGTACTGTGATATATATATATATACTGTATATATATATATATATATATATATATATATATATATATATATATATATATATATATATATATATATATATATATATATATATATATATATATATATATATATATACAGTACATATATATATATACTGTACTGTACTTGTAGGTGTACGTTAATGACACCTTTACCCAAATTTAATTTCATATTAATAAACCATTTTAGAGTACAGTATGTTAGGGGTATCATTTTGCCTCAGTATCTACCTTTATTCTTGTCCAATAGCTTGATACCTGAATTACAGAACCCATGTGTCCTAACCCTCGCCATGCTACCAAAGGTCAGAGGTTATGAAGTAACTACAATATATGAAATGAAACAACAAGACAGAACTACTGTAATGGAGAAATGAAGGAAGTAAGAAATTAAAGGAAAAACCGGTTGAATAGTTTAAAAGTTAACAGCAGGGGGGATAAATTAATAAGAAAAGACTAATAAGAAATCCGTCCCTTTATAAATGGTGACACCGGAAGCGGCCCCCTTTATAACAGTACAGTATACTGTATATGTACACAGTACAGTATCTAATATACTATAGGACTAGCCGTGTGTGTGTCTGTCTGTTCTGGGCAGCCGAAACGGCACAATTGTTTTTCATCAAACTTGGTGGAAAAATCGCAAACAAATTCGTAGAGTGGAACAAACTTGGTCCCATGTCAATGGTTTCTTTAGGAAGGCATTAATTAACAATTTTATTTACAATGAAAAACGATGCAAGTCTACAGACTTGGCGCACCCTAATTAACCATGCAAGTCTACGAACTTGGTGCACCCTCATTCGCTGTACGCTGTCACGAGCGTTCAAACTTTCACAAGGGCACGAAGGGCCCGCGATCACTTGTATATATCTACACAGTACAGTACAGTATATATATATATATCTACACAGTACAAAATATTACAGTATATGTCTACACAGCACAGTACCAGTACTGTATATATATCTACACAGAACAGTGCAGTATACATTTACAGAGCACAGTACTGGTATACATATCTTTACAGCTCTGCACCAATTATAGTATTCTGGTTAACAGGGATACCACTATACTTTAATGAGTTAAATAATTAAGAATATTAATGGTGATAAAAGGATAAATCTACCTGCTGATCTTCTACTTACAAGGTTTCAGCCTTGAGCTTGCAGGATGAGCTGGAGCATCTGCAATCACACCCTGGATGCGATGGCCCCGCACCTTGCCTGCCCGGTGCTCCCGAAGGAGTGCTAACCTCTCCCACCGCAACCAACCCCTCACTTCCTCGCCCAGCAGAGTCTGTTAACAGAAAGCCATAAGCAGAATCTATCAGTAGAATGAGAACAACAGAGATATAAGCAGTGTAAGTAGCTCAGAAAAAAAAAATTGCAAGATATGAAGAGAGTCTATCAGTAGCCCAGAAATACTGTATCAGTAAGATGTGAACAGAGTTTGTCAGTAGCCCAAGAGTATGGATAAGATAAGTGCAATAGACCAAACATACACTTTCATATATTATTACCATGAGACAAAAATTGTGAATCAGGAGAAAGCATTATACCTGAGTCAAAATGGAACAGGATTTCAGTGTAATTTTTCCAAGCAACTGTTCTGGAAGGGACATAGTGTTTTGGAGGAATCACCATGTTTTGGAGGTGGACACAAGGGTCTCAGGTCTCGTCATTATGTAAAATTTTGAGTCAATTACATTTGTAGACCACCTGAAAGACATATACAACCATTAGATGAACTGATTCCTACCTCCAAAACTGCACCCATCTGACAGTTACTGTAATATATAAAAGTACCCTATACTGATATCACACTTTGTTCAATAAAATATACTGTACTCCAAGCTGCCAGTAAGTTATTCACTTTTACAACTGTTAAAGTCTGAGTATGTTTACCTCCTCCTCTGACACGTGACTGAGGGCAGGGTATGTTTCAAAAGTGGCTATTAGCAAATACCAACATGTCAGTATTAATTGATCAATTAATCAGTACAGTATAATACAGTCAGTCTCCGGGTTACGTCCAAGTTCCGTTCCTATAGATGTTCTTAAGTCGAAAATGTACTCAAGTTGAACCACATACTGTACTCTACGTGCATACCATACTTATAGTATACCAATGTTTAAAATCCCACTCCTTATATACATCAAAAAATCACTTAATTTAAGAGAAAAGAAGAAATAGAATGACAAAATAAAGTAAATGAAAATAAAAAAAACAGTCATCAGGTAAATAAAATACTGTAAATTTAAAGTTTAACACTTACATTGAAACCTGGAGCTGGTTTCTCACTTTTTCATGAATCAAGGTTAGACTTACAGGCATATGCTGCTGATTTTGATTATCCACCTTTATCACTGACACTCTTTCCACTTCAATTCTCAATCCACTTCTTTGTTTTGTTATCACAGTTGACTACATTGGTGGAGATCCTTTTAAATGTTCAAGAATTTTGTCTTCGTTTTTAAAATTGTTCTGATTGTTGACCGGCTGAAGCCCAATGCTCTACCAATGACTGATGGCATTTCACCTCTTTCAGAACCTTTGATTACATCAAGTTTCATTTCCATTGTAATTGTTTTCTTTTTCTCGGATGCACTACTCTGAATCAGATTGAGGGAAGGAGTGCTATTTCATCATACCAACAATGAGACTGAGGGAGTAAATATATCTGTCACTGGCTCAAGTGTAACCCTTATTGAATCTGTAGCTGTTTATGAGTTGTTTACAATGTAGAGACACATACATTATAGCCAAAAAAAATAAATAAATAAATCAAATTTCTCAACACGATGTACTGCTGCAATGCTGCATATCCAAGTTTTGGCAACAAACCCAATTTGTGGTGTTTGAAAACCCTGTACTAAAAAAATACAATATTTAATATATGTTTCTAAATACAGTAGAACCCTGGTTTTCCAGCATCTACGACAACTGAAAGGTGCTGGAGAAAGAGATTTTCCGCTTAGTTGAACCTTACTCTTAGGATCTCCCAATAAATCATACAGTGCTGACCTTACAAATTAGTGTCTCACAAAAACAGACTTCTTTTACACTAATTTCACTCTATATAAATTATGTGGCTTAGAAATAAAGAAAATGTAATATAAAACTATAAAATAAGAAAAATGAACACCATGGATGTGTATGTGTGTGGAGGCGGTGGGCTATAGCTGCATCTCGAGGTGATGTCATGGCATACACACAGCACAGCGCAGCAGTCACACGTCTGTGAGTCAGCTGGGTGACTACCTGGCTGAACTGTGTCATGTCGCCCAGAGGATGGTTTGGTGTGGAAGGAGTTAGTTCTGTACATAAAATATGTGCGATTTTATCATATGCCATGTATCGATTTCACTGTTTATCATAGCAATAAATATAGCAACTCATCCCCACTGCATGCAATATTCAAACATACAATTCTAGCTAAATTTGCATGAGTTTTTATAATCATGATTATTTGACTCTGCCAGTTATCCGAACTCCAGAGAACTGGGTCTCTACAGTACATTGATAGAAAAATGAATGGTGTATTTAATGTGAGGCAACAGGTATATAATGAGGCATTGGTGTGGAACAAATGAGCTACAGTAGCTGGAGAGAATGGTGACAACATATTGAAGCCTGTGTTTGCTGTTGGTTCTGGTCAGCCTACAATATAACAAGAAAAAGACTTAAAAAGAGTAATAAAACAATAATCTTCTATATTTCCAAGTAGAAAGTAGTTTTCAGATACCCTTGTACATGTGCTGTTTGTTTGAATAATCCTAATAACAAAAATACTCACCTGTAATCTGCGGGTGACAAGTGGGGCAAGAGCGAGAGCCTCAGCGTCCCCGGCGTGATGAAGGAGATCGTGCGTAAGATCACATCCCTGTCTCAACCATGATGCAGTCTGACCCGCCCTCTGAGATTCTGTCACAATGCCTCGCTGTGCGCGTTCACATGCTTGGCGTACCTATGGTGAGAGTCTTTTTATTGTCTGGCAGAAAATATCCGTACACAGTGAATATCTTTTATGTACTAAGAGTGAACATCGGTAACTTAAGTCCTAGCTAGACAAAGGTACAGTGTAGTATAGTAAAGAGCCTGTGTATCCCCAACATCTGCCAACAGTGCAAAACCAGTCACAAATCATTTAACTAAATAATAAGCTGGCAAAGGATGAAGAGGACAAGTGCAGCAAGTAAAACAGAGAATTTCTTGTAAGTTTGATATAGAAACAGGGAATGCTAAAATACCAAACAACAACCAAAAAAAAGTAAATATCGTGTTACTAAAAATATGAACGAATACAATTGGTCTTAAAGGAGCTAAACATGAAATTAACTTGGAAAAGACAAGGAATACTTGATAAGGTAGTTACTGTACTAAAAATTATAAATGATATCTGTAACTCAAGTTAAAAATCCACTAACACTTCTGGTTTACTTTACATCTAAAGTCTCTCATGAAGTACGGTACTGTACTCTACTGTTCTCTGAGGCTTAGACTTAAGGTACAAGTTCAGTACTCATTACTCAACCTGTCTGAGTAGTGTGTGTCGGTGTTCCTCCAGAGCCATTATGTAGTCATCAATAAATGCATTGACTTGGTCGCTGACAACACGACCTCGTTGCTGCACTCTTGTGGCCGCTCCCGTCAGGTCCTCGACTGTGGTTAAAAGGTCGCTCATTCTGAAGGGGAAGATAGGTTAAAGGTCATTCATTGTGAATTCAAATGAATAAAAGTTATTTAGTGTGAGGAGTTAGACAAGCTCAGGGGTATTTACTATGAGTATTTAAACACATTGAACATTTATTCACGAAGAAAATTTAGACAAGTTAACTGTGAAGAGTGTAACAAATTACTGAGGTCTAAAATGTTAAATATATGTGGAAAAAATCTACATAAACATTTATAGCCCCATGTGATATACAAAGGGGAACTATAGAACAAAAAACAAGGTGTGGGTAACATTATGGTGAATACAATACATGAGTAACACTGTACATGAAGAGCCTGTAAACCTGAATTACCTGGATGAGGCTTGGTCGAGCAACGTGGTGAGCTTCCTGCGTGCTTGTGGTGCCTCCTGGTCAACTGTGACGGTCGGGTGACCACGATGGAGGGTGGCAAGACAAGACGCACACAGTGGTTCATTACACCCGCGGCACCACCACCCGACCTCCCCTTCACCATGGGTCGCGCAGACGAGAGTGTGAGCAACCTCTCGGATGCCTAAATTTCTTGCTTCCTGAGAAATATAGAGAAATGTGATTTAATCCTTACATTATCACAGCCAAGTTGGTATACATATATATGATGACAAAAGTACATATAAAATAGATTTATTAGAACATGTGATAAGGAAACTACTGGTAAAAGTCTTAATCTAGGTCTAAATGAAGAGTTTTATCAGTACAGTAGTTCTTTTTGTAACATCTCTTGACTAAATTTTTTACAGAAAGTTACAAAAAGAACTTGTACAATAACATAGAGTTATACAGCACATCACTGACCCTTTATAAAGCTTCAGCTCTCTGGAAAAGGAAACTGAAGTGCATATTTCTATTTCTGTGTTGAAATAATACTCTGCCTGATCCATAATATATGCCTACAATAGCCAAATGACTGAAAACGTCTAGAGGGCCACCAATCTATTGTTAGTACAGGATATTCAGACACCTGATTTAACAAGAAACGAGACTGGGTAATAGTGGAGCAGATAGCATTCAACCGTGTTTATATAATTCATTCATATTTTCCACAGTTGTTGTTTGGATGATAGTAAGAAAAGTGATACGACAATTATTCCATTGAATTTTAATTTTTTTCTTTATATATGGTCATAAATCACCTGTTGTGGGCAGGGCATGAGAGATAAGGAAAATTAAGTTGTAAAACACATGAAAAACTGATCATATGACAGTAATTTCACATCTCTATATCCTGTGTAGACGAAGAAATTAATTAGTTAATATTAATAGTCTGCTGATAATTCTTCTGTGGCACTGCATGCTTACCTCCAGTCTTTGTTAACTTAAAATAAATGATGGAGCCTCACATCAGGGGTTTTATTACCATTAATATTGACTTGATTGTCTTTTTTTCCATGTTATAAGCTTCACTTTCCATGATTCTTTAGTGTATTGTCTGCACAAATCCCTTTTTTTTTTGCCCACTTAGTTCTTAAATCTATTTTTTTCCTATTCTATGTATAATTGATGGAGAGTCAAATACAGTACAGTACAGTACTGTACTGTAGTTGGATTCAAATCCTATATTAAAGGTTTGGACACATTTCCAATTTCTTGGAGTATAATTGGTTTCTAAGTGATCTGTATGTTTGTATATGTACTTATTATTCTTCCTCAAGGAAGATTGAGGGAGAAAAAAGCCATGTTGTTTTTCAATAGCATTATTATCATGCCGTGTTTGGCATCATATCTTAAGGATGAAGACCATCTCCAAGAGATCATCTGTCAACATGGACTAGTTGACAGAATGTGCAAGTGTTCAAAATGTGCTAGAGAACTGACGGTGAAGAAGAAATATATGTTCCAGTGCAACAAACAATCATATCCCCCCAAAATGTAAAATTATATCATGCCACCGAAGGAAAGTGCTTTCAATGGTATTTGATATCAAAGTAAGTTATTTCTGCTTAATATGCCAGAGGCTTTGCCCCCCTTAAGGTAGTTAGGTATGGTTAGGTAGGTTAGGTTGGTCAGGTCAGGTTCTGGGCATTGTCATCTACATTCTTGTGCTTAGTATCATGCAAGTTGTATATCTCCAGAAATTTGATGCAATTCCAGAAAGTCATTTTGATGCCAAGAACCATCTCCTTCACCATCACCCTAGAACAGGGGTTCTCAACCAGGGGGGAATTTCCCCCCTCAGGTTTTCAGGGGGGGAAAAACTGATACTAATATGGAAAAAATAAAGGATTTTCAGTATTATATGCATATTATTTGGAATGCACTTTTTGAGGCAGACAATCTTGGAAAGGAGGGGGGAATGACATTCTGACATATGGTGAAAGGGGTGCATGGGGCAAACAAGGTTGAGAACCACTGCCCTAGAAGGTTTACTATTGCCCAGTTTGTACAATAAAGGGCAAGGGGCACTTCAAAAGGACATGAGTCAGTTAAATATACATTACATTTATGGAGTTAGTAGATGGTCACCCCACTAGAGGTCACAACCTCAAGCTGTAAACTCTTGGAATAATCTGCCAGAGAACGTTGTGTTAGCAGTATGTGTATCTTAACTTGACTAACACTGGCACATGTTCAGGTACATTCAAGAGTCTATACCCACCCCTTTCTTGCCAATAGTGTGTAACAGAAAATAATGACTGACTACCCAGCCTGCTAGGAAGCTGACTAGTGATTAAAATGATAAAGAAAAGTAAAACACCATAGTATGAACAGGCTGCAAGTGTAAAGAACTAGTACTGTAGTGTATATGATAAATATAGTACAGTATAAGTTAGGTATGATCTGGTAGAAATAACTAGAGTACAGTATGCAGTACTGTACACTGTATTGGAAATTGAAAAATTATGAACCACAAGAATAAAAATAAAAGCAGCCAATATAAATAGAGACATATTTACAACAACAAACCAAACACGTGTACAGTACTTGTAAAGATATGACGGTGTGGTGAGTGGTGCGCCGCTGACGTGTGTGTGCATGGCTGCAAAGTCGACACAGGTTTACAGGGCAGGTATCACAGCGTTCCTCAGCCACTACATCTGTTGGTTAAAAAGTTCAAGAGTATCTTTCTAACTTCCATTTCCATTTTTATTATTATTATGATTATTACTGCTGTAAAGAGAAACTAAATAGTTTAAACTAACACTGTCTTGAAAGATTGTAGTCATCAGGACACTAAGTTCTGAAGTTAAAACTGTTTAAGAGTCAGTGCCCGACACGTTTGGTATTGGAATGTGGGATTTCTTCAATAATGACATAAAAGCTAGACTATGATTGGAGGAAATGCTCAGGGTGTATGCATGGTGTTTGTCCTGATACTCATAAAAATTGTGTCCACTGAAATGTCTACACCTTTAGTAGATGTGATGGTTCATATCTGAATGTTCTCTTCTTTCTATAAGGAAGTTATACTGATCCAGTTGTATAAGAAAATCACCTTTAGTATTCAAACATTCACTTCTTACTTAGCACTCTATGTAGCATATCATCAAATGGTGTCTCAATATATTCAGTCTACTGAAGATCTTAAATTCTGAGAGCAATAATGCCATGACTTGGAAGTTTGATGTTATAAAGGAATTCTTGGCACAGACAAATCATCTGCTGCTGAGCATTTTAATTTTTCTTGAGATGAATATACAGTATAGGTATTATTTGGAGCAGAGGAAGGTTATGTGATTTTACATACATCCTTCTCTTGCTATGTATGGGGGCTGTATTCTAAAAAAAAAAAAAAAAAAGGCCTTCCATAGCAAATCCAAGCAGAGTAAATCCAATGTTACACTGTGAAATGAGAGACTACATTCTTGACCTAATATTTGCAGTTTTACCTCACATATACAAACACAGAACACTTATACTTGAACTGTATATCATTTGAAGCTCCACCACATACAGACATAAAATAAAGTACAGTACAGGTAATCACAAGTATGGAAAGACACTCAATCAATCAAAGTACCATCCTCATACCTGAGGGTTGGCAACCATAGTCTTCCACACTAAACATTTGGGGTGTTTTTTACCAATCCTCCAAATGTTTTGGATCTTTCTGGGGACCCAGTTTTTAATTTAATTTACCCATCCCAGTCTCTGCCATCCCCTGCCAACCACTCAATATCAAATCAGTGAATTATGGTACAGTTTACATCTGCAAGCTGTCCTTATAAGGGAATCCAAGTACAGTATATGTATCTCTTTGCATTCAGAAAACAAACCACACTTATCATTACTGACCATCATGACACAGGTCGCAAAAGACAGTGGTCGAGGATGAGTTGAGAGCCTCGAGAACCAACTGCTTCTGTAGCACATAGTTGAGAGGGAAACACTCGACACCTCCCACAGGAACCTCTGCCTCGTACCCACACTCTGGGCACCACACAACCCAAGTGCCTGAGGGATGATCGTTGTATTTTACAATGTTATCCTTTGAGATAAATGAACTACATAACACTGTTGCATAATTATCAACATACTTTTATATGACCTCACGCTTAATGAACTGTATCTGTCACTTCAACAGTTGTACCTTAATGTACCTGTCACCTCAACAGTTGTACCTTAATGTACCTGTCACCTCAACAGTTGTACCTTCAAGTACCTGTCACCTCAACAGTTGTGCTTTAATGTACCTGTCACCTCAACAGTTGTACCTTAATGTACCTATCACCTCAACAGTTGTGCTTTAATGTACCTGTCACCTCAACAGTTGTACCTTCAAGTACCTGTCACCTCAACAGTTGTACCTTAATGTACCTGTCACCTCAACAGTTGTGCTTTAATGTACCTGTCACCTCAACAGTTGTACCTTAATGTACCTGTCACCTCAACAGTTGTACCTTAAACCTGTCACCTGTCACCTCAACAGTTGTACCTTAATGTACCTGTCACCTCAACAGTTGTACCTTCAAGTACCTGTCACCTCAACAGTTGTGCTTCAATGTACCTGTCACCTCAACAGTTGTACCTTAATGTACCTGTCACCTCAACAGTTGTACCTTAATGTACCTGTCACCTCAACAGTTGTACCTTAATGTATCTGTCACCTCAACAGTTGTGCTTTAATGTACCTGTCACCTCAACAGTTGTACCTTAATGTACCTGTCACCTCAACAGTTGTACCTTCTTGTACCTGTCACCTCAACAGTTGTACCTTAATGTACCTGTCACCTCAACAGTTGTACCTTCAAGTACCTGTCACCTCAACAGTTGTACCTTAATGTACCTGTCACCTCAACAGTTGTGCTTTAATGTACCTGTCACCTCAACAGTTGTACCTTCAAGTACCTGTCACCTCAACAGTTGTACCTTAATGTACCTGTCACCTCAACAGTTGTACCTTAATGTACCTGTCACCTCAAAAGGTACATGAAAGAAAGTCAGCAACAAAATGAAGAACTAGACTATACTGTATGATGAGCTTGAAGAGTTTTTTTGTAATAGGAAAGAATGATAAACAATTCTCACTCACCTTTACTCTTCTGAATGCTTTCACAACTAGAGGACTGTTCGCTCGATCTTGTCCTAGAGGAACACCTAGAATCTATCGTACTAGATGGAGACAGCGCATCATCCTCGCTACATACTGGAGGTGTGGGCTTGCTGAGAGTGTTACCTTCACTTGGTGTGGGCGTTATGGTCACCTTAGGGGTCGGATTGTTATTACATGAGGAGTTTGGGGAAAGGTTTGTCAGCAGCTCAATAACAGATTCCAAGTCGGTGGAAGCCGTCCACTGCTGCTTTTGCTCTCTATGACTGTGCTGGTTTCCCCGAGGTAACTCTTCTTGGTTTGCTGCAGAATTTGATTAAGAGCTTAAATATTAATACATTTATTTTAATGGAGATAAATACTGATACACCAAAATATGATACAGTACTGCATAACATTGCTAAAACATGACAACACTAAACTTATACAGTACAATGTTATTCAAAGTTATGAGAAAAATTACCTTTATACTCTGCAGTAGCTATTTAATAACAGCAAAACACAGTTACATGACATTCAAAGGTAATTAATAAGCTTTGCATTGGTGGAGGCGACAGTTAACTGTATAACTTACTTATGGAATTACACCAAAATATCTGGAGATGCTATTTGCATGACACTAAACATGAGAATGGAAATGATAATGCATAGAACCAAACAGAACCTGACCTAACCAACCTAACCTGCGCCCCCGGCATATTACACAGGAAGAGCTTACCAATGAAAGCACTTTTCTCAGTGACATGGTATAATTTTACATTATTTGTGGACATAATATGAAGGGTTGTTACACTGATACACATATTTCTTCTGAACTGTCCTGCCATCTAGTCCATGTTGACAGATGAGCTCTTGGAGACTGTCTACATTCTCCACAAGCACAGATAAATTGCAATACAATATACTGAACGGGGGCAGATCCAGCAATATCAATATAGATGCTGCAATGGAATATCTACTACAAAACAACCTTGTAAAGGATTGCCAACACAGTTTTATGCCGGGGCACTCCTGCTTAACACAATTACTCAATGTATTGGATAATTGGACCCATATTCTGGAATGGGGTGGTAATATAGACAATATTTACCTAGATTTTGCCAAGGCTTTCGACAGTGTACCCCATGAAAGGCTGAAAATCAAACTGGAAGGGTACAGAATTCGAGGAAATGTCCAAGCGTGGATAGAAGACTTTCTTCATGACCGCAAACAGTGTGTGGTGATTAATGGCACGAAATCGTCATCCGTACCTGTCACAAGCGGGGTACCACAGGGCAGTGTATTGGGCCAGCTGTTGTTTGTTTGTTTGTTTCATAAATGACATGCCTGACGCTGTACACTCCTCCATACAAATGTTTGCCAATGATGCCAAGTTATTTCGGGAAATCAACAACCAAGCTGACTGTGAAGAGCTGCAGAAGGACCTCTGTAAGCTCTAAGAATGGTCGAAGAAATGGCTGCTGAGATTCGCAGTCCGACCGTCCGAGTGTAAACATTTAAAAAAAAAATTGAGAAAATTTAATTCTTTTCTTTTACTCCACTTTTACCCTCAGAAATGTGAGAAATAATTATACCTTGACACTTCAACAAAGTTGCATAAATTTTTACAGGTGGACAACCATGTCTTAAAATTGTCTAAAACATCGGAAAACACATTGCTCAACAAAATATCTATGGTTGTCCACTTGTAAAAATTTACCAAAGTTACTTTCATTGGCACCAGATATCAAGATAAGTACTTTGTTTAATATGGCGGGTGGTCTAATGGCCTGGGTAAATATTATTATTATGATGATGATGATGATGATGATGATGATGATGATAATAATAATAATAATAATAATAATAATAATAATAATAATAATAATAATAATTTAATAATAATAATAATAATAATAATAATAATAATAATAATAATAATAATAATAATAATAATAATAAATAAATAAAAATAGATAAAATTATAAAAAAAATAATAACCATATAAAAACAAAAACGAAACAATAAAATTAATCAAGAGTGAGGTTAGGTCAGGGGTAAATATTTAGAAGTTGCCAACACTTACTTATATATATAGTATTATATAGTGAGAAAGGGAAGAACTAAAAATAATTTATTCTATAGCATTTCCGTCGGATATTTATATTGTTCGAGTATTTTAACCGATAAAGTTACCTCTTTTTCTTTAACCTCTTCACCACTGGTCGGCTCGTTAGCCGCTTGGGCGGTCGGTCACGTCTTTGATACGCACTGTTGGCAAGTACTGGCCATGTACTGGCTCCTGAATGTATTTGTACCTGCTCCAGTGTTGGTCAAGTCTGGTCTTGAATGAGCTAACACTGGGTGCCGTCACAACGCTCTCCAGCAGGTTATTTCAAGAGCAAAACAATTCTTAATCCGAAAAAGTTACCCCTCGCAGTTTTCTGGACTTGTGGCTTCCACCTTGAGCTGTGACCCCGTGTGGCCCTGTGGGACGGACGTCCGGCAGCTACAGGTATGTGTATACATTCGACCGAGTAGTTTAAAGTGGGCAGAGCTTTGAAGTAGAGGGATAATTTGGGGTAAAATAAAAAACACACTAAACAAACTTTTGAAAACCTGACCTAACGTTTCTTAGCCTTTAAAAATCCTAAAACTATAACAAGGTTTCGTTATTCGTGTTTAGTAGGTGATGGTGTTTTCTGTTTTTAATGTTATTTTCAGTGTTCTGATGAGGAGGGATCCATAAACTCGAAAGTGAATCTTAAAATTTTTACATGTTAGGAAAGGTTAGGTTAGTTTGCCTCTATTTCTATGCCCTACCCACTTGAACAACTAATGTTGCGGGTAATTTTATGTTGAAATACTCGAAAAATATAAATTTCCGACGGAATTGTTATAGAATATATTATTTTTAGTGTTTTCTCTTTCTCCCTATATAAGACTCAATATACAGGGTACACAGTAAGTAGGTGTTGGCAAATTCTAAATATTAACTAAAATGAACGATCGAGCAACTCTTTTTGGTGGTTGGTAGTGATGTTTTCAGGCATTACCCATGTATTAAATGGTAATTAACACTACTGTAATTACTATTTAAATTTTTGGATAAATAAAGAACAGATTTACGTATAATTAGGTTATTAATAGGTTTGGGGAAATATATAAACAAATAGATACATAAAGATGGAGATAGATGGGAAATAAGGCTGATTTAATGAATGAGAGAGAGAGAGAGAGAGAGACGATATATTTAGCAGAGTAACAAAGTATAAGAGGAGATACCATTAATGCCTGGCTGACTATTAGTGTCAGTTGTAGTAGTAATAGCAGTAGTAGTTGTGGTGTTGGTGTGTTGGTCCCTGGAAGTTGTGGTGCTACTGACGCTGCTACTGACGCTACTGACACTGCCGAGTGACAGGTGAGTGCTACTGCTGCCCTCCCCATTCCAGTGTCTACTCAGCAGACCACCGTTGTAGGTCATAGTGGGTGGTGTGGGTGAGGTAGCACAGGTAGTGGGTGCAGTAGAGAGGACAAGTGAGCCCCCTCCTTCATGCTCCTGTGACGCCCTTCTGCTGTTACTCCTTGGTGTGGGTGTGGGCGTGATCTGGCTTTTGTCTGTGGCACTGGGGTATGTGGACGAGCCATTCTGAGCGGGGTTTGAAGGCGTAGGGGTGATATGTGTGGCGCGGGCGTGTAGACAGGGCGTGCAGACGGTGTGGAGGCAGGGTAGAAGGCGTGGCTCTACCCAGCGACGTCCACACGCGCCACACTCACTCATCCTGCCAAGAAAATAGTCGAGATAGAGAGATACTGCAGATCGATCGACATTGTTCCGAAAGATTGTCTTACAGGTTCACACTAGTTCAGCATTTATAAAGACAGTACAGATATAGAAACAATGGTAAATAATAAGCTTTTTTTTTCATTGGGGATATTTATCTTTTGGGAGAAACTGTTAATATACTTACATGTATAGTACAGTACTCATAAATCTACCTATATTATATAAAATACAGGTGTATACTTAACAATACTTAATATACTTAGTTGTGAATTAAAAGTACGAGGCAAGTGTTTTATGTACAGTGCAGGGCATAAGTGTCCAAATGCCTTACAAGTTACTACAACAACAAGATGGTTAATATATATAAAAAAAATTAAGAAATAGAAAAACCAAGAACCCAGAATCTAAGCTAAATCAATCCTGACTCGACCCAAAACTACTTGACGTTAGGTTAAGTTAGCCTAGTCTTTTTAATATAATAATGTTGATGGTGTAATGTTCCTGTTCGAGGTATATTACTAACACAGGCCATCTTGCCTACCTAAAATTGAAAACACAACCACAAAAATCGCGAATATATATCACATTAAAATTTACATTCACAAAGACTCACACGGTGGAGCGTTTTTTTTTTAAAGGTGAGTTAGATGCATTTTTATATTAAGAGTGTCTACACCCAACACAGCCTGTCTACACCCAGTCTCCACCCAATGCAACCTGTCTACACCTAACACAGCCTGTCTACACCCAGTCTCCACCCAACACAACCTGTCTACACCCAACACCCAACCTGTCTACACCCAACACCCAGCCTGTCTACACTCAACACCCAGTATGTCTACATCCAACACCCAGCCTGTCTACACTCAACACCCAGTATGTCTACATCCAACACTCAGTCTGTCTACACCCAACACCCAGTCTGTCTAATATACGGTGTGGCACCTCGACAATTGCCTGCATTAAAGCTTTATTGAGGTTCTCCTGCCCTCTATTCTCTCTCTCTCTTTCTCTCTTACTCTACAGTTGCTCTCTCTCTCTCTCTCTCTCTCTCTCTCTCTCTCACATGGATGCTAAATACAATGGGAAAAATAATTGAAAAAAAAAAGTATTTCTCGTTAATCTGGACAAGTAATTTTTCTTAATGTTTCAGTGTAGATAAAACAGTTTCAACCCATATACTTCACAGCCCATGACAAATAACGAGCCTAAAATATCACGTTCTTAAGTTAATAATTATGAGGGCATGATAAACATACTACTTACGAGCCTAGAATATTGTGTTTGTGAGTAAGGTAAGGTAAGGTTAGTTGAGCTTAGGTTAACTTGGTTTAAGATAGGTTACATTAGTGTATCCTAAATTATCTTAAGTAAGATTATCTCGAGTTAGGTCGGGTTAGGTTAATTTACTTCAGGTTAAGTTTAACAATTACTAACCAAACACAACACGTAACCACAACAACCATTCACATTAAGTATTAAAAGCCTAATATTAAACAGTCCATCTCCCAGGTAAAATTTTCTCACAAAGGTCAAAGTTCACTTCCACTTGGCTCTCTACCTGGTCACAACCCTCCCTCAGGTATTTACCTTCCACTTCCTACCTAACTCAATGGTCAATATGGCGACCAGGCTGTACTGAGACTCTACCGATAACAAAAGACTCGTTTACTGCTAATCACCAATTACTGTCAAGAATAATGAAGGATTGTGGGGGAAATTAGCGAACAGGTAAGTGTCACACACCTGTTGTACTCTGTGTGTGTGTGTGTGTGTGTGTGTGTGTGTGTGTGTGTTAATTAGCCACACATAATCGCGAGACATCATTATTATTATCAACATCCCCACAACACCTGTAATCTACCTGTATATGTCCCCACAACACCTGTAATCTACCTGTATATGCTCTTAGTGAACCGACCCTCCCTATATTGAACAAATGAACCACCAGAGCAGAGAATGTACATCTGTCTGTCTGTCTGTTAAGGCAAGTGAGACAGACAGACAGACAGCAGAAGGTAGACGTGAGACAGGTGAGGTAGAGAGAAGCAAGTGTTAAAGAGGAGGGAACAGCACTATGTAACATAACAGGTGTTTGTGAGACGAGAGAATTACATCCATGTGTAGACGGGCCATGACAGGTGTGTGTGTGTGTAAGGACGAAGTTTATAGTATCATTCAACCATATACACATCTTTATCACAACACACACACACACACACACACACACACACACACACACACACACACACACACACACACACACACACACACACCTTGTCAATTCATTCCTAAGACCACCTGTAGGTTGTTTACAAAATCCCTTGATGTTTGTGTTTACATATTCAACATAATCTAAACAACCACCATAAACAAACATAACTAAATGTAAACAAACTCACATACACCTAAATTCACCTTTATTTAGACTTGCTAACAAAACCTAACCAAACCTGACCTAACCTGACCTAACCAAACCTGACCTAACCAAACCTGACCTAACCAAACCTGACCTAACCAAACCCGACCTACCTGACCTAACCAAACCCGACCAAACCTGCCAAACCTGTAACCAACCTAACCCACCTAACCCTGACCTAACCTGACCTAACCAACCTAACCTAACCAACCTGACCTAGCAAACCTGACCTAACCTGACCTAACCAACCTGAACCTGACCTAACCTGACCTAACCTAACCTAACCTAACCTAACCAAACCTGACCTAACCACCTGACCTAACCAAACCTGACCTAACCTGACCTAACTGACCTAAACCTAATAAGAGTTTCATCTACTAACGAGACTATGCATACTTGTGAGACGTGCCCTAGAGAGAGAGTTTACATCGATAAGGTGTGTTGTCAAGTGGGCGCAGGGAGACGTGGTGTGTAAATATAGTCAGGGAGGAAGGGAGGACCAGGAGGAGTCAGGGAGGGAGTCAGGTAGGGAGGTCAGGGAGGAAGGGAGTCAGGGAGGATAGGGAGGGAGTCAGGGGACCAGGGAGGAAGGGGGAGGAGGTCGGGGAGGAAGGGAGGAGGTCAGGGAGGAAGGGTCAGGGAGGAAGGAGGACCAGGGAGGAAGGAAGAAAGGAATCTGAGAGGATGAGAGTCAGGGAGGAGTCAGGGAGGGGAGTCAGGAGGGAGTCAGGAGGAGAAATGTGATAGTGGAGGAAGTATTCACTCGCCCGCATCAGCATGAAGGTTCCATTCCCGACAGCATTGTGAACCAAGATACTGCTGTCTGTCTCACCTCCCCACCCACCTGTCCCACCCACCTGTCTCAACTCCCACCTGTCTCTCCCACCCACCTGTCTCACCTCCCACCCACCTGTCTCACCTCCCACCCATCTGTCACCTCCCACCCACCTGTCTCACGTCCCACCCCCTGTCTCTCCTTCCACCCACCTGTCTCTCGTCCCGCCCACCTGTCTCACCTCCCACCCACCTGTCTCACCTCCCACACCTCTCACCTCCACCCACCTGTCTCTCCTCCCACCCACCTGTCTCACTTCCCCCCACCTGTCTCGTCCCACCCACCTGTCTCTCGTCCCGCCCACCTGTCTCATCTCCCACCCACCTGTCTGTCGTCCAACCCACCTATCTCACCTCCCACCCACCTGTTTCTCCTCCCACCCACCTGTCTCAATTCCCGCCCACCTGTCTCGTCCCACCCACCTGTCTCTCCTCCCGCCCACCTGTCTCACCTCCCACCCACCTGTCTGTCGTCCCACCCACCTGTCTCACGTCCCACCCACCTGTCTCTCTCCCACCACCTAGAAGGAGAAGGCGGAGAGAGAGAGAGAGAGAGAGAGAGAGAGAGAGAGAGAGAGAGAGAGAGAGGTCATGTGGGTGATTCATTCAACAGGAAATTAATTAAATGTCGCTCACACACACACACACACACACACACACACACACACACACACACACACACAAGAACTCATCGACTTTAATAACCAGACCAAGTTTCAAGTCCACACCGTTCATCACTGTAAGATACATAACAAAACATACTGTGGTGGTGGTGGTGGTGGTGGCGGCAGTGGTGGTGGTGGTGGTGGTGGTGGTGGTGGTGGCAGTGGTGGTGGTGGTGGTGGTGCTGATGGAGGGGCAATGTTGTAGTGGAGGAAAGGAGAACTGTGGTGGAGGGAGGAGTTGTGGAGGGAAGGAGGGTAGTCGTGGTAGAGGGGAGGAGAGGGGGGAAGGAGGCAGCAACACCACCACCACTACCACAACGCACCACAGTCAAGATATGGTTGTCAGCGTTGAGTTATTTTTACCAAGAGGTGTGCCGTGTTGGCCTTGGCCCAGAACTTAATGGTGCTGAGGAATTATTAGTATTATCATTATTAGGTGTGCTGCAGCCGCTCACACACACACACACACACACACACACACACACACATCAATCTAGTTAAGGTAAAGTCTCAGTGTAAATTCGACACCATTACAGATTCTGTGGTCTGGACTTACGATCGATCCTTTGAGATTCCCGACGACGTCACAAGGCATAACTAACCTTGGTAACACTGTATGGATATTATAGGTCTGTGTACTGTTCTTATCTGTACGCATTCTTTGTTGGCAACACTTACTTCTGAGAGAGAGAGAGAGAGAGAGAGAGAGAGAGAGAGAGAGAGAGATCGTTCATTCATAATAAACGCTACAGGGTTAAAGAAACAAAGGCGTAAGACTCGACAAACAAAAATAACAAAAGGGACACAAGAATAGCAAGAATAAAACGGAACCACAAATAAACTAAAATAAATAACTCCAAGAATTCAAAACAATAACATTCTGGACGAAAATAACACATTTCAGCCTACAATAACAGCAGACACGAAATAAAGATAACACGAGAACAATCACAAAACCACACGAGAATAATAACAAATGAAAGAGAGAGAGAGAGAGAGAAAGAGAGAGAGAGAGAGAGAGAGAGAGAGAGAGAGAGAGCGTTGTTGTGTAGCGATAGTATCACTCTACACATATACAGTTGTTTGTTTTTCCGTATTTTTCTAAGGTTATAAGGAAAGTGTTTTGTGAAGATGTGTTAACTGTTAGTCTAATGGACGGTGGAAGGCGGGTGAGGGATAGATAGAAGGGGATACATACATACATACATACATACATACATACATACATACAACCAATTAGGCGACAAATATAACTCAGGTATTTATTTGTTTTTCGAACCAAAGTGAACAGTGACATCATCACCCAACGTTCATATAAAGAAAATCGTCAACAATCAAGAAAAAATAAAGTTTATGAAATAAAATATTAAAAAGATTCAATAAGAACTAACAAGCTACAAAAAAAAAAGTGTGATAAAAATAATTTTTCTTCCGTCAATTCTAAAATAAACTTCCCGCCAATTCCAATATTGATTTTTTTTTATTCCCTCGTGAGTGAATGACAGCTCACGAATGGTCAACACGGCGCCAAGAAATATATGTTGGAGTAACGTAATGAATTTTGTTTTGTTATTTCACATATAACCTTTGTCAACTTTCCTAGGCAAGAAGTATAATTAATTTTACACTATAACATCGTCTGGTAGTTGCGATTTGTCCCAACCTAACATAGTCTTGTGTAACTACTAGGGCATAATATAACATAACCTAACCTAATGTAACGTAGTCTAACATTAAGCTAATTTAATCTAACCTAAATACAGCGTAGCCTAACACATCCCCACACACCCACACACCCACCCACACACACCCACACACACACACCCACACACACACACACACCCACACACACCCACACACACACACACACACCCACACACACACACACACACTCACCTCTTACACTTCCTGGGTGAATCTTCCAAAGCCTCCATCTTGTTTTCCTCTCCCAGTATGTCTTCCTTTCTCTTCTTCCTCTTCCTCTTGATGCCCTCCAGAGTTCCTCCTGCTGTTCGGGGCTTGAAGGCGACGCTACCTCCCGCCTCCAGTTGCAACTCCAAGTTCTTTATGATAGCCGTCAGGAAGTGGTCCAACTCCTGGATGGATGCCTTCGTTGGTAGTCTCGTGGGCAGTTCCTGTGAGCTGGGAGCCTTGCTGAGTCCTGTTTCCTGAGAACTGGGAGCTTTAGACAGCTCCTGGCAGCTCAAAGTCTTGGAAAATAGAAGATCCTGTGAGTCGTGGGTAGTCTTGGAAAGTTCCTGTGAGCTGGGAGTCCTGGAGTGCTTCTGTGTGCTGGGTGTCCTAGTGAGCAGTACCTCCTTTGAGCTGGGAGTTCTCGACAGAAGAGGACCCATCTTGTATATGTTGAACACCTCGCTGTCAAAGCTCTGGCCGGTGTGTTTCAGGATGGGTCGAATTCTACTCTCAACTCGAGGAAGAGTTTGTGTCTTCGCCGCTACAGAAGGTGAACTTTCCCGAGATCTTGTCCCGCCCTTACTGCTCACACACCGTCTTATCGTCGCCTCCTTCACCTCACCTATGTCTTCGTCGTTCTTATCAAGATTCACGTTGTCCATGTCAGCTCTGCCTTTTCTTCTGTCGCCTCGTTCTACATCTAAGTCATTCTGTCTCCTGAAGTGGATCGACGTCGTCGCCTCCCCCCGGGTAGTCTTGGGGGTGCCTCTGAGGCCTCTGGAATTCTGGCGGGTGATGCAGGAAGGTGAGTCATGAGACACAAGGGCTTCCTCACTCCCCCCAGCACCGTCTACCTGGTTAATGTGTTCCGGGTGTTTGTAGGGGTCGGGGGAGTCAGGTCTACACTCCCTGATAACATCCACGTTGGCATAATGGCAGCAGTCCTCCCCCGGTTGCTCCTCACGGTGTGTATAGTGCCGCTGGGAGCCACTGCTCACCCGACGCAAGTTTCCGCTGCCATATCTGGATTTGAATTCCATCTCAGAATCCGTAGAGTCGCTGCAGGACTCCGTGGAGCCCATCCTGGGGTCCTTCTGGTCTAATGGACTAAGATTATACACCTTGATCACTCTCTTCCTCTTAAGGCCAGACTTTTGCAGGTCGGCGCTGGATGGCGGTGGCATCATCTCTCGCTCCGTGAATTCCGCGCACCAACTCTGCCGCTTCTCGTGTCCCCGCAGCAGTAGATCGTGGGTGGATAAGATGTCCTCACTGGCTGATCGTCGTTCCTTCATGGGCGGCGGTGTCGGTGGCACCTCGCTATCGCTGACTTCGTCGTGTGCTACGGATGACGAGGGCGGCGACTTATCCAGCAAGTCGTCCTCGCTCTTAGATAACCTGTTGCCGAATATCCTCTTAAAGAAGTTGGGTTTCTTTGTATTCTCGCCTTCCTCGAACGACTTGGAGGTTCTCATGGCATTGAAGAGCCCCGAGGCTGGCTTCTTGGTCTTGACTGACCTGAGGTGCTTGATGTGGGCTTCTCTGCTCGTCAGGTTTTCCATGCCGTCGTCCACCCTCTCGTACTTGGCCTGCAGTTCGTCCAGCCTCTTGTGTAGACTGTCACTGCGACACACCAGCTCCAACAGGTCCAAGTCTTGTTCCAGGGATTGTGCCTGAGTGTCATGGATAGTCACCCGTTTCCTGTGATCTTGGAGCGAGGACGGTAGTAGAGGATAGTAGGCTGGGTGGTGGTCGCTGGCCGAGGCGGGGCGCTCTGGACGACCACCATCCCGACACTTCTTGTCTACTTTAAACACTTTAGAAAACATCTTCACCTGTGTCAGTCAGCTCTATGTTACCTGACCTGGTTTGACTCACTCACTGACGGAGAACCGCTCAGAGCCACGCAGGTTGAGCCATAAAAGTCATCTCACACCCCTGGTCGAGTCTCAACACATAAATGCTTCTCATTTTCCTTAATAAATAATATTTTGAATTGTATGTACATTTCTACCCTAAACTTAACTATTGTAAATACATTATGTATAACTGTTGTATACATGGTGTCAGGGCCTCAGGGTAATGAATCACCCTCTCGTGGTCTTGTCATGTTTCCCTACCGTTCAACACCGTTTTGATGCATCGTTAATTTCCTCGTTAACCACACTTCTTCCTCTTCTCCTTCACTGATCATTCACCATTTTTCTCCCAATCATTCATTACTTCAAAGAACATTTTGCTGTATTTTCCCATCATCATTATTCTTCATTTATTTCTCATTAACCACAGTTCTCCATTTTCTTAATCCCTGTTCTACGTTTTCCATTCAATAACCATAAAATTCCATTGGCATTAACCATTGTTGTCTAGTCGATGATACCCGTTTTGTACTCTGATAAACACGAAGTATTTTCTCCTGTAACAAAATACAGAAAGATTTACGAGTTATTTCTCATTTACGTACACAGCACCTCGTGGAAAGGTCAATATTTGTCCTAGAAGAATAAAGTATTTTCTAAGTGATTAATAATACATGTAAAGTATCTATCTACATGTTAGTGATGATGTATATAATGTATTTTATTTATTTAAGTGATAATGTATGGAATTATTCAAGTGGCAACTCGGTTAAATAAATTATTATTACTATCTATCTATCTGTTTATTTCTATCTGTCTATATATATCCACCAACTGCATCTATGTAGCTATCCATCTATCCATCTATCCACTCTAATTACATCTACCCAAGTGCAGGAGAAGGTGTTAACATGCTTGGCTTGAGGAGGCGAAGGTGTGGCTGCCAACTACCAGAGCCAACAACAGAGCTCACCAGTAACACTTGGCAGAACACACGCTTTTGAGGGTACCCAAGACTGCTTAACTAGATAGATAGATAGATAGATAGATAGATAGATAGATAGATTGTATACTGGTAAGTGAGAGTGAGAGAGAGAGAGAGAGAGAGAGAGAGAGAGAGAGAGAGAGAGAGGCGTGTTTGTGTTGGAGGTGGACCACTTGTCAACAGCCACCACTGACATGACCGTCTCAGGGGAGGAGGGAGAGCAGGATAAAGGGAGGAAGAGGAGGAGAGAAGATAAAGAGAGGGAGAGGAAGATAAGGGGAAGAAGAGGAGAAAAGAAGGAAGGAAGGAAGGGAAGGAAGACCCAGGATGAGAAAGAGGACAGGAACGTGAGAGATGAAACACCACATCTGTAAACCCTTTAATTTTTTTTTATCTCAATGTCTTGTCTTTGTATAGGCCTCTCTCTCTCTCTCTCTCCCTCTCTCTCCCTCTCTCTCTCTCTCTCTCTCTCTCTCTCTCTCTCTCTCATAAAAACTCAAGACTCAACAAGTGTTTGGCGGTAATGGTCCTGAAGCTCCCTACCGTTGCCACAAAACACACACACACACACACACACACACCACACACTGACCCTTTCGACTCTCACTGACCATCACCACGGCCTCATCTGCAAATTTGGTAAGAAGCTTCTACACCATCCCCGACACCGGCCCCTACTACCACCTGAGATCCCCTGTCCGAGAATTGCTGTTCGACACCACAACCGCATCCAGCCCATACGTGCACGAACTGATCGCTATAAGAACAGCCCAGTCCCAACCATTGTAAAAATTATCAATAACATGTAATAAATCAGTGTATTCACTCCCAGTAAACACTGCTCCCTACACTGTCACTATGTTGAAATGAACTGTATCTTGAGCTGATCCCCATCTAAGTTACTATATGTCTTATTTGTGTCACTTATGTCACTTGTATATTATTTGTAATTCGTAACCCATTCCCCAAATATGTAACTGTATATTTTCAGCCTTCTGGCTGCCAAGCTCTTTCAATAAACCGTTAATTATTATTATTATTATTACAATGGTGACTTAATTTCATACGGCTATTACAACATGTTTTTTATTTGTTTGTTTGTTTGTTTGTCTGTCAGTTTGTTTGTTTGTCTGTCAGTTTGTTTGTTTGTCTGTCTGTTTGTTTGTTTGTTATCTTATTTGTAATATGTTTCTGAGTAATTATACATTATTTATTTTATTTCACTTCATTAGAATTATCTCACTTTTTCTCTCACTTAGTTCGAGTTATCTCACTTTTCTCTCACTTCTTCATTATCTCACTTTTTCTCTCACTTAATTATCTCACTTCTCCATCATTCTATCTCACTGTTCCTCCTCCTTCAAGTTAACTATTTGACATGGATCCTAGAGGAGTCCTGTGGGAGTCCTAGAAGGTCGCGGCGGGGGTCCCTGGGAGTGCCACAGAGAGCGGGCCGAACACAGCTCACCACCACCGACCCCTGGCAGTGCCAAGTAGTGACTGAGGCAGCAGTGCCACCACCAACCTGGCACCCCTCCCTCCCTCCTCTCACCTACTTACCTTCCCTCCCCCGTAACTCACCCCCCTCCCCACCCCCTTCATCCCCCTTATTTTCTCTCTTCACCCCCCCCACCCTTCCCTCACCTGGCACCATCTCCCTCTCTTCCCCTTCCCTTCCTTCCCTCCTTACCTGTATCACCCTTCCTTTCCCTCACTTACCTCTCCCTTCCCTCACCACTCTCCATCCCATTCCTCCCTTCCTGGCATTTCCCACACGGGCTAAGGTACGCGTCTTTCGCTCGCCTGCCTAAGCTAACACCCCGCTATGGGTCGAGAAGTTAAGTGAGAAATTAATAATGAACAAAAAGTTTCAAAGCTCGACGCCACCATGAAAAGATTCAAAACAAATGACAGTCGCTGCCACACAAAAATAAACAAATAATTATATCTCTACCTGTACCTGTTCTTGTATCTCTACCTGTACTGTTGTTGTTTTTTTTAATTAAGATAAATAAAATCAATTAAAACACACCTACACGACCGCCACCGTCTATAATTGAAACTTCATTCTCCGAGTGAAAGAAGAGAAGGAGAGTGACAGACAATGAAAGAATGACAGTGATAGCTTCCCTCACCGCCACCCACCACCACAATGTGCGGGAAATAATCAAACGTGTAGGTGCAGTCACAGCGAGAACATGTGGCCATTACTGAACTGTCACAGTCTAGATGAAGCTATTGTGGTCTCTCTCTCTCTCTCTCCCTCTCTCTCTCTCTCTCTCTCTCTCTCTCTCTCTCTCTCTCTCTCTCTCTCTCTCTCCGGTATTGTATAACACACACACAATCGTAGAACATAATAACACTGAAATAATGAAGAAAATTAATAATAATGTTTGTGGTGTACCAATTTACAAGTAACCAAGGATAATTACACAGGTAAACAAAGACAACAATGTAAACTAACACTCACAGGTCTACGATAGTAAACAAAAACACGACATCCAAATAGTTCCTGATTGTTCACCAAAAATAAGTCTATGTATGGTTCATCACTATTAAACTAAACTTCATATATAGACAGAGGTATTCAGTCATCCAGGGACACACTGGTTAGGGATGTACTGTATATAGCTGGAGCAGGTATACAAACAATGGTAAACAGTAAGTCAACACAACAGGATGAAGAAACTGCATTAATAGAGGCCGAATGTGTAAAGGACCTGGGTGTGTATAATGACAATGAGGTGAAGTTCTCGGGACATTGTGAGAAGAAGAGGTGCTTCCCCGTCTGGAGTACTGTCACCCCGTCTGGTCCCCGAGATATGCTAGACTCAGTTGATTGAAAATGTCCAAAGGAGGGCCACCAGACTGGTGCCTGCACTTTGGGACCTCAGTTACCCAGAGATATTGTATCGTCTGCAACTACCTAGCTTATACTACAGACGGGCAAGGGGGGACCTAATCGAAGAGTATAAACATCTCAGGGGGCACTACTCAGTCGAGTGTCCATACTTGGAGCTGGCGGACGCTCGCCCCACAAGGGGTCACAGCTCAAGATTGAAGAAGCCGCAAGTCCAGAAAACTGTGAGGGCTAAATTTTTCAGAGTGAGAGTTGTGAACTCTTGGAACAATCTACCAGAGAGTGTTGTGACGACACCGAGTGTGAGCTCTTTCAAGAGAAGACTTGACCAACACTGGAGCGGGTTCAGGTACATTCAGGATCCGGTACATGCCCAATACTTGCCAACAGTGCGTAACAGAGACGTGACCGATAACTCAAGCGGCTAACGAGCCGAACAGTGGTGAAGAGGATAAAAGTAAAAAACGTAAAAAAGTATTGTAAGGAAAACTGTGAAGACCAGTAGCCACCAGCGCCTCCCGCTCTATTAACACACTATCTCTCGTGTCCAGGTCAGCCAAGCTCACGGGGCACCACAACCCAAGGTCCGCTCATTAGTTATAACCCCAATAGTAATAAGACTTTATGAGCTTTATTGGACTACCCTTGGTGTGTGAGAGAGAGAGAGAGAGAGAGAGAGAGAGAGAGAGAGCACACAGTGGGGGGAGTAAAGGGACTTTAAATGGCTACTCTAGAAAAAAACAGCTGATGAAATCGCTACTTGAACACGTACACACACACACACACACACACACACACTTAAGACAAGATCAATGGACACGATCAAGTCAAGTTAACTGACAAAAGATTTTCAAACTCTTTATTATTCTTAAGTGTTGCCCTACCGACTACACCACCACCCACACCACACCTTTTCCCTCCACCCACACCAACCAACCCTCCACCCACACCACCCTTTTCCCTCCACCCACACCAACCAACCCTCCACCCACACCACCCCTCTTCCCTCCACTCCAGACCGCTCCTCCCTCCACCCACACCGCCCTCCACCCTCTCCCTCCACCCACACCACCCTCTTCCTCCACCCACACCACCCTCCTCCTCCACCCAGACCACCCTCTTCCCCCCACCCAGACCACCCTCTTCCCTCCACCCAGACCACCCTCTTCCCTCCACCCAGACCACCCTCTTCCCCTCCACCCACACCACCCTCCTCCTCTCACCCAGATCTGCCACCCTCTTCCCCCACCCAGACCAAACTCTTCCCCACCCAGACCACCCTCTTCCCCTCCACCCACACCACCCTCCTCCCTCCACCCAGACCACCCTTTTCCCCCACCCACACCACCCTCCTCCCACCACCCACACCACCCTCTTCCTCCACCCACACCACCCTCTTTCCCTCCACCCAGACCACCCCTTCCTCCACCCACACCACCCACCTTCACCACTCCTCCACCCCTCTCTCCACCTCCTCCCTTCATGATTCTGGTATTGCTCTCTCTCTCTCTCTCTCTCTCTCTCTCTCAACACCAACTGACATAACCTGACAGTAGGCTATTTAATCCCACTGGTGTGGTTCTGTCCGATTTTTGTCCAACATTGTTTTGTCCAATAGAAAACCTGTTTAGAGGGTTTTTGTCCAATGAGAACTTGCGTCTTCAAAAGAGCTCGGTCATGTCAGTCCTGTTGTTGTTGTTGTTGTTCTCGTTAAATAAATGGTTTCAATTTGAATTTCACTCTCAACTCGTTATACTAAAGACATACACACACACACACACACACACACACACACACACACACACACACACACACACACACACACACTCCACATATCAAGAAGCGCTCAACACACTGACCCTTTCGACTCTCACTGACCATCACCACGACCTCATCTGCAAATTTGGTAAGAAGCTTCTACACCATCCTCGACACCGGCTCCTACTACCACCTGAGATCCCTAGCCCGAGAATTGCTGTTCGACACCACAACCGCATCCAGCCCATACGAGCACGAACTGACCGCTAAAAGAACAGCCCAGTCCCAACCACTGTAAAAAATTATCAATAACTTGTAATAAACCAGTGTATTCACTCCCAGTAAACACTACTCCTTGCACTGTCACTATGTTGAAATGCACTGAAGTTTGAGCTCTTCCCCATCTAGTTATTATATATCTTATTTGTATCACTTATGTTACTTGTATATTATTCGTAATTCGAAACCCATTCCCCAAATATGTAACTGTATATTTTCAGCCTTCTGGCTGCCAAGCTCTTTCAATAAACCGTTAATTATTATTATTATTATTACTACACACACACACACTACATACTGTTAAAGAGAAGCTGTCACTCACACTACTGCCACCAAGGAACGAAGACCTCTCCCTCAGGCGCTCTGTTTACCAAGGAGCTGCCTGGGTGTGGGTCAACCTACTTCCTCCCACCTACCCGTCTACCTGTCCCACCTGTCTTACTGCCCCACCTGTCTACCTGTACCACCTGTCTGCCTGTCTACCTGTCCCACCTGTCTACCTGTCCCACCTGTCTGCCTGCCCCACCTGTCTACCTGTCTGTCTGTCCCACCTGTGTCTGTCCCACCTGTCTGTCTGTCCACCTGTCTGTCTGTCCCCTGTCTGTCTGTCCCACCTGTCTGCCTGTCCCACCTGTCTGCCTGTCCCACCTGTCTACCTGTCCCACCTGTCTACCTGCCCCACCTGTCACCTGCCCCACCTGTCACCTGCCCCACCTGTCTGCCTGTCCCACCTGTCTGCCTGCCCCACCTGTCTACCTGTCCCACCTGTCTACCTGTCCCACCTGTCTACCTGTCCCACCTGTCTACCTGTCCTACCCGTCTACCTGTCCCTGTTCGCGGAGAGGTTTATGGATTTTCACAAACGTCATGGAAGACGAAAATGGATCCAGCATATCTGATTGTCTTCTTAATGTGAGTGTTGCTAATAATAACAACAATAACAACAACAACAATAATAATAATAATATATAATAATAATAATAATAATAATAATAATAATAATAATAATAAAAGTCACAAAGACATAGATCCTCTGTAGACAAACAACTTGTGTGTGCGTGTAGACAAATGGTTACCTGACACTAAACAGAGCACAGATCTAATTGACGTTTTGAGGGATGTTCAGTACACCGGCTAACCTAACCTAACCTAACCTACCTAACCTAACATAACTAACAACCTAACGTAACCAAACCTAACCTAACGTAAAACCCAACCTAACCAAACCTAACCTAACCTAACCTAACGTAACCAAACCTAACCTAACGTAACCTAACCTAACCTAACGTAACCAAACCTAACCTAACGTAACCAAACCTAACCTAACGTAACCAAACCCAACCCAACGTAACCTAACCTAATCAAAGCTAACCTAACGTAACCTAACGTAACTCAATCCTGGTCCTAACCTGGTCCTATCAATCTCCACCTAACTAAAGTTAACCTATTCCTAACGTAACCTAACCTAACCTTACCTTAACGAGAGAATGGCCGCCTCTGCATCACACCTGAAATATAAGAGGGAGAAAAAATATGTAAACAAACCGCAATTGACTTGAACCCTGTGTGTGTGTGTGTGTGTGTGTGTGTG